CCGCTCATAAAAAGATAACTTTTATTATTGTACAATATTAATATTGGTGGCCAAAAAATCGTTTGGCTAATTAATCATTTTTTTAATTATTATTATTTATTTTTTTGTAGTTACATCCAATAGTAAAATTCGAACTTAACATATAATATAGAATACGGGCGACATTATATTCCATAAGATAGAGTAAACGAATGCTAGCACTCTATCACAGCACACAGAAAACCCGTATACACACAGCACACAGAAAACACCTTGTTCCTATACACTCGGCACTGACACAGAAAACCCACCAGACAGAAACCAAAAAATTCTACTGTCTGCATACTTCCATTTCTACAGACCGTCAATATATTGATTTTCAACATTACTGGACCTGCTAGTTCTACTGATCGATGGTTGATTGAATATAAACTGAGGTCTTATCCAATCGATAGACCTACGTACGTACGCTATTACCTACAATGTTCCAATTGGTGTTTCTTCCAGACTTTATTCTCGGGGGGGGGGGGGCAGAGTTTCTTCCAGGCATCTCTTCGGGGGGCGAAGCCCCCCCCCCCCCCCCGAATTTTTTTTACCGCCCCCCCCCCCCCCGAACGAAATGAAATTTATATAATTTATATAGAAAATATATACTTTTAACAGTGTCCGCCCCCCCCCCCGAAGAAAGTTTACCGCCCCCCGAAAATTTCAAGCGCCCCCCCCCCCCCCCGGAGAAAACAGTCTGGAAGAAACACTGGGGGGGGGGGGGCGGACATTTTCCGATCACTGGTAATATTATGTTTTCTATATAAATTCCATCTCGTTCGGGGGGGGGGCGGTAGACTTTCTTCGGGGGCGCTCCGTCGCCCCCCCCCCCCCCCCCCCCGAAGAGATGACTGGAAGAAACTGTGGTTCCAATGAAAACGTTACACAAAAACAAATAAACCACGCTTAAAGCTATTTATAGTTCACGATCTAAACGCGACGTTGCTCAGCTTGATACATCTGAGGAAGTTGTGAACAGTGACAACTCTTCTCCAGCAAGTGTTACCCACCTCTTGGTGGTAGGTAATAACATTGAGAGATATGATGTATGCATTCACAATGTCGTTGCTCTATATTCGCCCAGTTTGTTTTACCTGTTGCAACATGCACTAGGTCGTTCGTGTTTTGTTTGACTTTTCGCGTCTAAGACATTACCCATAACCCCGTCAAACCCCCCCCCCCACCCCGCATGGTAATTAGTCCCCACTTTAGTTAATAAGTTATAGCCCACATAGTATCTGTTAACTGAGAAAGATCGTATAAACGCAGCACGGACATTTATTACAGGTCGAACCCCCATTTCGGGACCCGGGACCAAGTATCAATGTTGCACCCTCCCTCTCCATATTTTGATATTAATCATTCAGGTTGGCGACAAAGCGTCACTCCTCTCATCCCGCCAGTATGTTAATATATTTTTTCCGTATCACACAAGTAATGTAGACAACCGCCCCTAGAGCCAACCAGCTTTCTGTTTTCTTAATGTCTGTAATCCAGCTCAAAATAAGCTTTTTATTTTAGTTTTCTAATCTATTTAATTTGGCGCTCCCCTAGCTACGCCTCTGGCCGACAGAATACGAAATAGTGTGGCATTCTATAAACAGTGTTTCTTCCAGACTTTTTTCTCCGGGGGGACGGACGGACGGACGTCGTCCCGTCCCCCCCGGGGGGGGGGGGGGGGGGACACCACACTGGTAAAAATGGTTTCTATATAAATTCCATTTCGTTCGGCGGGGACGGACCCCCGAAGAGATGCCTGGAAGAAACTCCGTCTATAAACAGGGGAACCGATAATGTGTAGAATAAGTTTATTCCTCTTCGAAAATCTTAACCTAATCCTAGCCGTTATCCCAACACTACCTTACGGTAGGGTTATGTTCAATGTTCGGATTGGGTTTACACTTTGACGATTTGTAATCGATAGTGTGTGTTTATGTGTGTATGGAGGGGGGGGGGGGAAATGTCCTGCTCCAGTTTATGGGCAGGGATACATTGTAATGGTGGGGTTATGCTTGCTCCTGACATTTTCGGCACGGTGGCATTAGCTACTGATCATGTCATTTTTTGCGATTATTTCGAACGGTTGACAATAGATACAAAGCTTTTAGGAGTAACTTAATGTCACGCGTGTAGCTTCTATTTAGAATAATTTAATAAGTTATAGACCTTTTGTATACGTAACTTGTTTTTTTGTGTGGTGTTTTTTATGTATCCCTATCGGTTGATGTAGGCCAACATTTACATAAAATCAACAAGTCAAAAGCTATAAATATTACCCTTCCCCAACCTGTGTAAGCTAGATTATTAACCTTAGATCTAAGTTGAACATTTAATATTTTAAAAGCTCTGTGGCATAACATTTTTGACTTAAAAACTACTTTTAAAAAACAATCTCTTCATCCATCAACTGGATCTAAAACAACAATTTTAACATTTTCCATATTGCGCATGTGAGGTTTGAATTTATTCTTATAAACTCGTTTAAAAATTAAGTTAGTTTAACTGATCATACTTTTTAAACTGGCATCGAAGTTCCAGACGTATCTCTTGTGATAAGGTAATTATGTCTGTTTTAATTAGATAAGGTACTTATGGCTCAGTTTTCCAACTCGAATCAGCAGGACCAACAAAATGACGCTGTGACAGATATTTTATTTTAATCAGATCTTATATCCAGATCATTCCATTTGGGAAATGCCAAATTAAAAAAAAAGTACAATGCATGCAAAGATATGACATTTTGTAAAAAAAAAACTACATTAGCAGAGCTACCAGCCTGTCTGCAATGTTTGAGTGGCCTAATTAATTAATTGAGAGCAGTATTAAATAAACACCAGAATTAGAAAATGGACCAAGTACAGTTGCATTACTGGGCGCACTAACAAGGTTTGCCAGCAGCAGAAGTGTGGAGCAAAGAAAAATTGTTTTAGTGTATTAGGTCAATTTTGAAACAAAATAAGGGGTCGTCCATTTACTTGATCCATAAGTTGCTATAGAGTCCTTTCATATGACGTCACGTCCGTTCGTGATACCTACGCCCGCCGCCACAGTGGTGTACACAAGACGTAAACACAATCAGCTGTTCGCCAGCGCTGGACGTGTTCACCAGCGCTGGACGCGTTCACTGTATGTAAAGAACCGCACCCGCGGAAAAGGAAAAATACGTTAAAAAACTTGAACTCTTAGGAATTGAAGATCCTTATACTGTTATTGACAGTTTCGTATAAATAAATATGTGGACAAAATTTCTAAATAAAAATACTGTTAGTAATACTGTTTGCTTTTAGAGTTAAAGTAGCCGAATCTGATCAAATGCAGTTCTCGATACTTTGTTTCAGGTAAGGACAGTAAAATAATAAACTTCATTTTAATTATAAAAGATAACTATTAATAAAACAAATATGCTCGACCTTCACAAATACTAATATATAGTAAAAGACAAAGTCAAAAGTAATAGGCTAATAAGAATAATAAGATCTAATAGTAGGCCTAATACCTGGCTCCGCTGGGTAGACATAGAATCTAGAATCTACTTCTTTACTTAAATTTAATTACTTTAGATCTACATTCGATTCAAAATACACCCATAATAAATCAAAAGTAGTCATAATAGGCCTAATAAAGCATTTAATTGTCTCTAAGATCTAAAATCTCGCTCTATTATCTAATCATTTTTTTAGCAAACGAAATTTTCTGAAATTGAAATAGATTATATGACTAGACTTAGATCTAGAATCTGCTACTTAAATTAAATTGTAAAAAGTAAAAACTTTGTAGTTGATATTATTGTAGTAGAAGGCTTTAATAAATTACTAAGGCCTACCTACTTTGTTGTCTTTTTACAGCAATATGTATCTGATACTGGACTGAGTTTAATTAAATTCAAATTCATATCTAGTAATTGGTCTACTAAGTTTTTGTAGCCTAGTAGTACAATCTAGATCATACCAGCCAACAACAAATAACCACATTATTATTATTTGGTTAATGATTAGGCCTAGGCTAATTTTTTTTTTAAATCCACTGTTTATAAAAGAAACAAATCAAGCTAGAAACATAAGTGAGATGGTTTAGAATAATAACAATGGACCCAGTCTACAATTGATACAATTGCAGGTCTACATAGGGCCTACAGTCTAGTAGTTTACAGTAGGCACCTAGTGTGTAGCGAGTATACTAGTGTGTAGCTGTCCAGAGTTAAGATTCTTAATGCCTTAATGCTTTCCCCTGATAAGCCGTGTGTGCTATAAATGACATAACATGACACCGAGGTGAGAAGTGTTGAGGGGAGAGCAGTGGGACTTTCCCCTTTGTTCTCCCTGCTGGGCCCTGAGGGTCAAAATTATATAAGAAATACTATCTCTGTGGGGCTGGGTATCACGGAGGTGAGACATTTTCAGGGGAGGGCAGGGCAGACTCCTCTTTGGTTTTATTGTGGGCTAGATACAGGTGGGGGCAGCCATTATGAGGGTTGAACGTCAGTATTAATGTGTCTGATCACTTCCCTGCTGGATTATAAGGGTCTTAAATTGTATAACATGCTACCCAGATTGGTTATTCCATGGATTATATTAGCCGTTGTAGTGTGGGTTTTGTAGGAGTTAAGTGGTCTCACGTTTGCTACAGTAGATAACCTCTAATATATTACTGCATTTGATCAGATTCGTCTACTTAAACTCTAAACGCAAACGGTATTACTAACAGTATTTTTATTTAGAAATTTCGGCCACATATTTATATTATCCACGAAACTGTCAATAACTGTATAAGGATCTTCAATTCCTAAGAGTTCAAGTTTTTTAACGTATTTTTCCTTTTCCGCGGTCGCGATTCTTTACATACGGTGAATACGTCCAGCGCTGGTGAACACGTCCAGCGCTGGCGAACAGCTGATTGTGTTTACGTCTGATGTACACCACTGTGGCGGCGGGCGTAGGTATCACGTGATTTAGGTCACGTGTTTGCAAGGACTCTATAGACTTGTGGGGAGAGGTGCGGAGGTTTATTTACACTGGACAAGTCCAGATATCTAAGACCAAAATACCCACACTATATGGGATAACAAACACACCATCTTAACTGTAGAAACATGTTTGAACATCTTGTTTAAAAAATCCAGTGGATGCTGTCATGACATTATAGTTATACTGATACCATTCAGACCTTGTACCTCAAAAGGTTAATGAATGATGAATGAACTAGATGTACCATATGCACTATTTTAGGACTGCCTGTAAAGTTTTCTTTAAATGGGATGGGTGAGGGAGAAGGGGCAGTAGGCGGTGTAAAAAAAAAAAAATTCTGTGGACGTAATTGGTTGATAGAAGTAAAAAAAAAAGTTGGGTGCTGACAAAATAAGACAGAATTTCAATAATTTAAAACTAGAATAACTTATATGCCACTGGCACACCTATTACTAGATTCTACTTCTTAACAGTAACTAATAAGATGAGTCAATATAATACAGTAAAATTTTAAACTAACATTACAATCAGTGGAGTTTAAAAACAAAACAATTTTACTAAAATTCCAGCCATCATTAACTACTGGGCTTCTGTTCTAAGCTTGTTCACCCTTTCTGCAACTTCTGCACGTTTGGTCTTCAGGTATTCCACAAACTCGTTCAGCTGCCCCTAACAAATGGACAATTTTCATTGCTGACCCCACTTTTTTTATCACTGGTCATTTTAAAAAATCTTTTAAAATAAATTGAATTCTTTCTTATAATTTGGTTCTCAATTTTTTAAATAAAAGTTGCTTGGTTGTTAAGAATTTGTGTATGTTGCTGCTCAAATTATTGTATGTAAGTTGCTGCTCAAATTATTGTATGTAAGTTGCTGCTCAAATTATTGTATGTAAGTTGCTGCTCAAATTATTGTATGTAAGTTGCTGTTCAAATTATTGTATGTAAGTTGCTGCTCAAATTATTGTATGTAAGTTGCTGCTCAAATTATTGTATGTAAGTTGCTGCTCAAATTATTGTATGTAAGTTGCTGCTCAAATTATTGCAAGTTGCTGCTCAAATTATTACATGTAAGTTGCTGTTCAAAAAGTTTTATGAACGTTGCTGCTTATAACATTAGCATTGCCCATTCAAGCTGAATGACTAACATTTGTAAAAAGGGTAGCGTGGCCAAACCTATGCCCAGCAGCCTTTACTTTCTCTAACGTTAGATACCCATCAGAGGTGGGTGGACTCTGGGACGTTCTATTGACTTCAACCTGAATGTGAACTCAAGACTTTTGGGTTAGCAGTCTAGCGCTCTACCACTAGGCCTCGCCATCCCACATGTTTATTGTAACCAAATATGATCAACACAAGATGTCATCCACTGTTGATGTCCACACATTCAAGTCAATATAAAGGTTTAATCATTACCAAACTGGAAAATGTATACTTAAAGAACAATTCATAGTGATAATTACCTTTAGGAAACAATCATACTCTTCAAACTCTTTTTCTTTTTTCTCCCAATCATTATTGATCTTAGACATTTCTTTATCTGTTTCTTCTCTCAGCCTGTTTAAACTAAAACAAAAATGAAAGCTGATTAGATGTTCCCAGCCATAGGAGAAAAAAAAATAAAACTAACTTTTTTAACTCCTTTGCTAACAATCTGACACCCCCCCCCCATGTGACTGCTATTACCAATTGTGTTTCTGTCGCATTATTTTCATGCAAAAAGCATTTCAACACTATGTCTGCTTACTGAATATATTACTAGAATGCGCAAGATTTTTTTCCTCCCAAAAAAAGGAAGTTTCTAGCATTTATTGTTATCATTTTATACTAAGTTTACCAAGTTGAGTTTCAGACAATTTTTTTTAGAGTTTTTGGCATAAACAGTTGCTTCTGCATTATTGTAGTTTTCAATTTGTTTTAAAGAATCAGATAGTTAAATAGATTCTATATTAAGTTAGATATCTAAGTTATTAAAATCAGAATCTATTGTAAAAATTTTAAATATTAGAAATAATACTGAGGCACTCTGTAGCAGATTCTGACCACATAGATGCATCACTAAATTCACTCTAAACAATAAATACTATTAGAAAACATATTAAATTATATATTTTCTTTGAAATAACACATTTCCTTAATAACTAGGCCTAGATTTTGTGTCTTTTTGATGATGATACAAATTAGCTTAGTGCATGGGGAAGGGTTTTGAGATAGGCTTTAGTAGCAAATGTCTTAAAGAGAACCAAGAGAAGGTCAACTCAGTGAGTAACAACCTTTTACTGCGGGAGGAACATTCTTCTGACAATTGGATTTTTTCAGACTCAAGCTGCTTGCAAGAAGACTCCAGCTGTACAACATCTAGCTGTAATGCATCTATCTCACTTGCTAGTGATTTCTTGTCTGAATTAAACATCTGTAGATGGTATCCAATTCAGATTTATTTACAAGAAAACTCAACATTTTAAAAAATCTACACACAAATTGACATGAGAATTAAAAATGTGAACAAAATGTTACCTGTTTCATTAGTTCTATATCAGATTCAACAGATTTTAATTCCTTCTCCATCTTGACAATTTTATCTCGTTTTTCATTTAATGTTTCTTGAAACTGAAACAGTTTTATTTTATTGTTACCAAAATGAGTAAAATAGAGAAAATTCAGTTTTGAGAGTATGAATCAACTTATAGTAGCCGAATAAAGATGTGTGACACAGATCAAAATACAAAGAAAGACAAATCCTTTTGATATTGAGGAAGGTATATAAACAACACTTGATCATTGGTTGTATTTGACCAATCAGACTCCTATAACAATCCCTCTACAAGCATCATGGGTGGTGGATGAAATATCATCTCACTTAACCATGCCAATAAGGTTGAAAATTTTAATCAATCTTTGCTCAATAGTTTGATTCATATATTACAAAGTAACTATAATGACTAAATGTAGGTCAAAAAATGGATTGAAAGATTTGATTTTTTAAATCAGTCATGGATCTGCTCTAATAAGTTTGTATGGCTGTACAGCTTTGTGTTCAACTGAGACATTAGCTTCTACCCAAGCTAGTGTTACATTGTTTTCTTTTAATTTTTATTTTAAAATGTTTTAGAGAATAAAAACTACCTGTTCATTTTCATTTGCTTGCTGGAAGGTAGATTTATTTTTTTTGCGAATAGACTCTTGACAGCGCTTCTTCATATAAGTCAGTTTGGGCTGTTAAAATGGAAACAATTTTATTGTATACATTCATGGAGAAACAGGCTACTCCGTTCCATGCATATATATAGAAATACATATATATTAACCATTAATGTCCTGTAACGCCCGCTGCCGCCCGACACCGTTAATGTCCCGTAACGCCCGCTGCCGCCCGCTTACAATACGCATAGAAAAATTAAATTTGTTTCATTAAAATTTGGCCTACAAATCCTAATTTTTAACTAAACAGGAAGTCGGATAGTTTCACCATCCTTTTCCGGTCTTCTAATTTCAATGGCGCTTTTGAAAGATAAAAAATAATAGTTTCTTTCCATCTCGAAATTTTAGACTCATCTGTCCAATTTTTAGTTGATTTAATATTAAAAATAAAATAAAATAATGCCTCTAAACGTATCTAGGCATGTATTTTATGAATTATATATCTTAAAGATAATCAAATTGATATTTAACTGTTAAATTCGATGCATAGTTGTTAAGACAAAAATAAACAAAGTTGACTACCGAAAATGGCCTGTTTTGAATTTTCTCCGACATTTTTTATTTTTATTCTGTACTTGTACCGAATATAATATATTCTATTTAATACTGTTGGAAAGCCAGGTTTATTCCCAACATTAAGCAGTAGTTTTTATCTTAATTTTCAATTTCATTTAGACAAAAACAAATATTTTGTGAAACTATTCACTTGATCATACAGAGTTATGCTCCTTACATTGGGCCGTCATGGGTGGAGTTTTGGTAGAATGAATGGGACATTAATGGTTAAGACAATTCAGCTAGTGAAACAGTGTAAGCAGAAAGAAATTTGTGAGAAATTTTAGCTTAGAAAATGTTTTTTGTAACCCCTCTATTTTTTGTTGTTGATGTAATTGATTTCTTTCCTCTTTACCAAGTTCTCTTTAACTTTACAAGTAATTGAACTTCATATTCATCTATAAATTCTACACCTTGTTTAAATGACAAAGCTAACTGTTTACTGATCATGTGATTGTGCTTCCATAGCCAAGAAGAAATTGACACCCTCATATACAACACTTAAAAGTTTCATGTGTTCTGCATATTTACCTGGACTTTTTTCTCAAAATCAGAAACTGGGTCAGAGCTGACACCAGGACGAAGTCTAAAATCTTGACCTTGTGCATGTTCTGCTGTCTCAGGGACCAGTTTAATTTCAATAGCCAGTCTGTTGTAAGTTATGGCTTCTTCATCAACCTGCACTCAGATGAAAAGTTAGTCAATTGTATGTCTTAAATAGTCTCTTATCAAACTGCATGAAAACAGTAGCTAATTATATGCTTGAAGAAAGATAACTGATTTTGAAGCTAAGGCGAGGGTGCTGAAAATATTGATGGTTGTATTATTCCTTGAATTCTTGTTACAAAACATGTGCTGACGTTAGTTTGTGAACTTGATAGTTAAAACCAAAGAAACAATAGAAAGTACAGCCCAGACAAAAAAGCCCATCACCTTCTCGTTTAATTTGGCTTGTTCCATTGACAAGTTCCAGATGTTCAAGTCAATGTTAGCGATTTGTTTTTCCAGCTGCTCCACCTGTTGTTTGAGTCCTTCTTGCTCTGCTTTCAGTCTCTCTATATCAGACAGGCTCAGATCTTGACTTTTGTGGATTTCCAGCATTTGAGACAATCTATCCTTTTCTGCTTGCAGATCCAACTCTATAAACAGCAGGTTATTTTCTTTATGAATAGTTATTTTACTTTTACCTAAGTTTTAGAAAAAACAGCATCAGGTCAACAAACTTACTCAACATTTGACATTCTTCTCTTTTGGTTTGCGCTTCACTTTCTTGAGCTTTTCTGTATCGACGCATATCCTCTATATAAGCTTGTAACACATTTGTATCATGATTCAGCATCCCAATGTGATCTTTAATCTTGAAACATCTTTCCTACAATACAGTTAACTTTAAACATCAATATTCCATTCAAGTGCCTTTAACTACCAGCAATTAAAAAGATATCAGTAAACAGCATAACAGAGTGTAAATTGTAAAATAAACATGGATAATGAGTGATGCAAGTCGTAATCATAATGTTTTGACTGAAATATTTTCTATATCTATCACTTACAAACCAAAAAAATATTTCTGAAAGTTTCGTTCTACAATTGTTTATTCAACAGATTTACAATTAAGATTGTCACCTCTGTTTGCTCCAAAAGATTTAATTCTTGTTCGATCCTAATATTTTCATCATTAATCTCTTGATAGTTGCCACCAAAATACTTTTGAACTGTCAAAAGAAAAATATAAACAGATATAAAGTAGTAAGGAGGATGACTTACTGAATTAATTCCTTAATTTTACAGCTGTCTTCTTTTCTACAATTTTTTAAAGTCATAGTCAGCATAGGCTGGTTTAGTGATGTGAGGGTCAAAGTCTATCCATTGATTTCGCTAACTTAAATATTTGATTGTCATTGCTGTTGATCGTGTTGATCTCAGCTGAGTTTGGACAGGAACAATTGATGCCACTTGTGCTCCATCTTTTCAAACCAAGATCAAATGACCTTTTTAAAACAATCGGAGATATTAAGTTTTAAGGTTTTTCTTTACATCACAGCACTGTCCCACTGCAGATTTATCAAATAGGCTAAGTATTTATTTATTATTTATTATCATAGAGTTTAACTAAGTTGAGAAGTTACCGCATGGAAGTATTTCCAAATAACTTTGTTAGTGTTACAACAATATAGGCCTACTTTTTTCACTTGGATAGATATACATGTTATTTACGATCCACACATTTCCTCTCAAACTTTAATGTTATACCACTGTTTAAAATGATGGGCTAAAATAAACACTTTGTATAAAGCTTTGAAAAATATAATTCAAAGTTTTTTGGGGAAGTTTTGAATGAGTTTATCAAGAAATTAAAAGTATTATAATTTTGGGCTGTAAAATGTGGTGTTTTTGGAAGAGCAAAAGTAGTTAATGCTCTAAAGAAAAAGCTAAAGTAGTAAAAGTTGTACCTAGTATTTGCTTGAGCTCTTCATCAAAGCTTTCATAGCTGTCAGCCCCAGACATGTAGGCTAAATAAGTTTTTTCACAGTAGTCAAAAGCTAGCTGTTATACCAACAAATGTAATAGACTATATTTATTATGTTAATATTCTTATACATAAATGTTTAAAAATGTATACATGTCAGCATTTAATTATATAAAATCTGTGATCTTAAAACACACACATATTAGCAACATTACCAATAAATATTATGAAAATATGGACTAGAACCACATTTTTATAGCTATCATACAGGAAAAACAATAATAAAGTGCTAAAATTTAACAGAAACAATATCAAAATAAAATGACTACTCTGTGATTTTGTATTTCTTGAGAAGAAAGTAATTTACCTTGTCATCTGAATTCCCATCAAAGTCTTCACCAGTTGGTTCAAAAATAAAGGCATCAATGCCTCCATTTTCATGAATATTTCCAGTCATCTTTAAAATTGTTACAAATAAAAATAATTATTTAAGTTTTTAATGGTGCCTAAGCTAAAGCTGTAGTAATTAAGTGTTGTGTTGAGTATTATGTTTGAGGATGTTCGGCTATAAATCATAGCTCAGCTCATTAAAATACCTGGACATAAATCACTGTTTGAGGTTTATATAAGGATAAACAAATATAAACAATAATAACATGAATAAAAATTAGTTTTGATAAACAAAAAATACAGTACATTAATTTAAATTGGATTTTTTTTTTAGATTTTATTTAAAAGGAGAAAGGGGGAGGGTGGAGAAAGGGGGAGAGGGGGCAGTGGTGTCTACATTTGTTTATGTATATGTCCAAGTTTCTTTAGTCTAGAGATCTCATGTTGTATATTAAACATAAATGTTTTGATTTGGTGTAGATTTTCTGCCGACTAAATGAAAATATTAAGTTATTGTTTAAATATATTTGATACAGAGAACAATATATTTTGCACTACTGTCAAAGAAACAATTAAAGTAATAACAACAGACCTTCAATAAGTCAATCATCCAAATTAGTGCAGCCAACAACTGGGGCCAAGTGTGAGGTGTACCAACAGAAAACATAGATGTTTTTGATATTGTGTAGGGGTACCCAAGTTGTCTCAGAACACTAGGCACTTCTTCTTCTCGTTTTGAAGAAATTTTGTATCCATCAATTAATTGGCTGCATATAAACTGAAATAAGGCATACAGTTTAATAAAATATTTAAATACAGAATTTTTAAATTATTTAGTCACTGTATTTTTTTTCTCTCTGGGATTCAAACATTAAGATTATAAACCGTGAAGTAGAAAACAAGGTAAAATAATTATTTCTGTAATCGAAAAATTCATTTATTAATAACCGACATGCATACTGTCATAGCGTAGATAAATTGAAATAAGACTAGACAGATAGAGATTAATAAGGACAGTGTAAACTTGAGTTGGTATTGATGGTAGACTATTTGGTTCGAGAGCATGTGCAGGTGTTTAATAAAATATTTGTAGCGTGAGTGTGACGAGACAATGTTAGCGATAGGGGACAGCGTCGTCGAGTCGGTAAAGCTCATGGTTGCTAAACCGAAAAGTCTCGAGTTCGAACTCTCGGGCAGATGAGGCTCGTTAGCTGGGGACAGCCACTCTTCTAGGAGAGACAACTCCAAAATCAAACAACTGCTGCCTTGTAGTTTGTTCTTGGTTGGACAAAGGCTATGGAAGCAAATCCAAAAATAAAAGCAGGCTGAAATCGGAGTCAATGGCCTCAATGACCAGTTGACACATATCCTTAATTGTGATGGAGGAGTGGTCGAGTCAGCAAAAGCTGATGGTTGATACATTCGAAAAAGTCTCGAGATCAAACCCTCTGGCAGATAAAGGCTCGATCTCTTACAACACTAAAAATTAAGAACGAAGAAGAAGAAAAGAAGAAGAAAATAATATTAAATAAGGTCAATTATAAAACTAATAAATACATTGTATAAATTAACTGACAAGAAAGATGCGCATTGGAAAAAGTGCAAACAGAAATTTGCGCACACAGAAAAATGCTCAACCAGAGCTATGTGCACACAGTAAAATGGGCAAACAGAAAAAAAGTGCATGCAGAAAAAAAGGCGCACAGAGAAAAAAAAGCAAAAAAAAAAACTCAAAGAGGTTTGTCACTAAAACATGAATATCTCAAATTCTATGCGTAGGAATACAAAATGACATCCACATTAGAGTAACACAGTACTTTTGGTTTGTTTCCTTTATGTGTGATCGATTGTGGAACTTTATGTTTGCATGATAAAAAAATATTAGTAATTTATGTTTCTATGCATTTTAGAAAGACCTGTGGCATTTTTAAAATTAAAATATAGAGGAATGAGAATAAAATATATACGTCTATGTATACACACATACACAGACCAACTTGAACAAGCAAGCATAAACACACACGCACACAAATAAATATATATATATATATATGTATATATATATATATATATATATATATATATATATATATATATATATATATATATATATATATATACATACATACACACACACATATATATATACACACACTCTCATAATTGATGAAAAATCTGTGTGTCATTTTCTGTGTGCATAATTTTCTTATTTGCCCATTTTTCTTTGTGCGCATTGTTCTGGTTGTGCATTTTTCTGTGTTCGTAAATTTCTGTTGCGGATATTTTAGTGCTCTTTTTTCCGTTGCGCATCTTTCCAGGAACCTAAATAAACATTTTTACAATATAGTTATAATGTACCTGGTCAGCATTCTTTTTTTCAAATTTAACATTAGTTCAAACATAATTCCCTCATACTGTACTTTTTTATTTATTGTAAATAATGCTCCTCCCTTATTTAATAAATGGAAATTCTTAAGATTAAACCAGAGTACTGTTTTATTGCTTTGACTTTGATGTTGAAGACTCCCCAATCCCAAGAGATAATAGTTTTAAAAAAATGTTTATATGTGGACAAGTTAAATAAAACTAATGCCCTATATATTGTAATTTTCACACTTTAAATTTTATTTTTAAATTTGTAATTTTTGCAGTTTGCTTTATTTAGCTAAACAAAGTGTAATTCATGCTGAAAAATGTGACATGGCATTTTATACATAGAAGATTCCACAATGGCAGGACAATAGGCATGTCTGCAGTAGCATTAGAATAACTTAATCAAGTGCTATAAAAACTAATAGCATTATAATCTTTTTGTGAATTGCATGTCATATACTAATAATGAAAAATGATCCAACCTCAAATATTTGAAAAAAATCTTTACTGCTTGGAGATGCTAGAAGCTTGGTAGATATGGGATATGAATATTGATGTTCATGTAGGAACTGAAATTTGAAGTTATATTAGTAGTTTCATTCATTAAACAGGAACAAGTTTGGTGTTAAACAACTATTTTTGTTCAAGAGAAAATCAGAATCATCAAAAACCACAATGACTTTTATATTACAAAAACCTCCAGTGAATTATGAAAAGAACAGTCCATATGCTATCAACTGAATTGATTGACTGCAAGAAATAAACAGATTTATTAATTATAAAAGAACAATGTGTGGTTGAATGGTAGAGCATTCAACTGCTCTAAAGTTCAGATCTGGGCTTTGAGTCCATACGACATCCCTCAGTACACCTAGCTCAGATAGGTAACTGACTCATATTAAGGAAAGTAAAGGCGGCTGGTCATAGTGCTGACCACACTATCCCTTCATATGTTTGAGGCCGCCGAAACACATTTGAAAGGCTACTTTCACTTTTTCCCAATCAGTGCCCCCTAACCTGGCTCAGAAAAACTAAATCTTTCGATGTGGTACTTTCATCAGGGAATATATGCAAGAAATAATGTGTAGCCAATTTTACCATTTTAAAAAATGGATACCTGTAATAACTGCCCAATGCACTTGTTATGGTACCTCTTGTCACCAAGAGGCCGGTTATCTTTAGGAATATCAGTCCTTCCACGTACACCAATACCACTTGATGGACGCCTGTACAACAGATTAGAATGGGAAAATATTTACTTCCCTTGTACAGCAAAAAAGTAAAATCATATTTGTAATCCTCTTGGATACCTTCAACAATTCTTGCAAGGTATCATAATACAGGGCACATAACTGTTTCATCTGCTTTTTAGAGTCTTAAGTCTAAGGGGGTCCTATAGGGTTTAATAACCATTTAGCATACACTATATGGTTTATAAACATTTGGCAATTAAATAAACAGTTTTTACTCCTTACAATAATTAATCATACCCTGATTTTGGTACATATGGAAACTGATTTGTAGAAACTGAAGATAATCTCTGGTTAGCAACAGGCACTTTGGATATTCCATATGGTTTCCCAATTGATGATGCTCTTTCTCTTGAGGGGGCTCTCTGGTTTATAGTATTTTCACTCCGCACCCGCAAAGGCGGACCGGAAATTGAAGGTCGACCACCAACAGATGATTTTCTCATTTTTTTTTTAAATCTAAAAATTTATTAAATTAAAAATAAGCTTAATTTTATTGTAAATCTAGGCCAAAGTTATATATTATATATTATAGTATACAGCCTACCCTAACCTCACCAATATTTTACTCTAGTATTTAACAACTATACAAGTAGGCTAGACCTAGAAAAATTGCCCAAATCTAGATACTAGTATTACGAGATTCAGTCTAGAGAATATAGAAACTAAGATTACTAATAATAATATTTAGGCCTAACTTAGCCTAGGCCTATTAAATATAAATTAACCTAGATCTAATATTTAATACCTAGATTTAGAATAGAATATAGAATATATCTACTACCTCTTGCCTAGCTACACTAGCTAGACTAGAAGTAACAAAATAGTCTCTAGAGCAGTGGTTCCCAAACTTTTTCAAGTGGCAAAAGTAAGTGACCAGCGACCCCCCATAGAATTAAAAAAGGCAACATTAGTAAGGAAATTTGACACGAAAACAACAATACATAATCTTTCGATTAAAGTTGAGAAAAATCCAAATTTAGAATATTGAATGTGCAATGTTCGTGGGTGAAATACGTAACATAACTCACAATTGCAAAGGCGGTTAAGTTTGTATTGTTACAAGTATCTCCCAGGCATGATACTATAAATAAACATTAATGAACTTACAATGACCCCAAAACTGAGGCCAACACAATTTCAAACAGCTACTGCCCAAGCTATGACGTATGCTGCACATGCTGATTATGTGATAATTAAAGTCAAAGAGAACTCACGGTGAATCCGCGACCGTGTAAGGATTTTTAATTGGAACAGTTCTAATGCTTCTTAATGTTTTGTTTTACCTTTTCTAATAAAAAATCGCATTCATAAAAAAAATAAGTAGATCTGTGTTTTCCTTACGTTTTTGTATGATGTTTCGGTTGTGTTTACAATAAAATACGCTCAACTGGAGGTGAACGTCAAGCGGGGAATAAAATACGCTAAAATGGAGTTTTACCTCTTTTTCCCCCTGAAAATAACGAATTTAGAAATTACAAAGGCGCAATTCACGAGTGTAGGGATTTTTCTCCCGCTGACAATCACACGCTATTTAATTGGAACTGTCCTAATGCTTTTTTATGTTGTTTTTTTATTTTATATTTAATATTTAGGCCTACCTTTTCTAATTAAAACTCACATTCATATAAAACATAAATAAATAAATAGTGATCTAGATCTAGATTCTAGATCTAGATCTAGCTCTAATCCAGGTAGAAATCTAAGTGTTTTCCTAACGTTTTTAGTATGTGTGTTTCGGTTGTGTTTATTTTTTAAAAAAATAATTTTTAATTTTATAATAATAATACGCTAAAATGGAGTTTTACCCTACACACCTAGATCTATCTTTCAACTGTAATCTAAATTATTAGATCTACATTAAATTATGATAATTTGAATAAAGATTTGTCTGTTACTGAAAAGTCACAGAAAAGTGCTAACTTACGTTGCGATTCGGATTTGTTTTTACCGCTGCTATCCTCGGATTGTTGTTTTTCAAATCGACAAATTGTTATGGGGAAAAATACAAAATATGAACTGGAATAAATCAGAAAAAAAAAACAATTATTATACAGCCTAATATTAAACTTAAAATTTTGAAAGAAATTATAAAACTATAAAATATTTACAAAAGTAATATAGATCTATATTAGTTATTCTAAATGAGCCACACAAAAAACGCTGCGCGCAAATAATTTTGGGCGGGTTGCGTAAATGCTCGGAGATTCAATACCATACATACGCATCCACTAACAACTAATATAGACAGTAGAATGGAAGCTCTTTAAGATGATATAGCTTTAACACGCTGTAAAATAAGCCGGCAAAATTATATATTCAGAACGTGCGTCCAATTTAATATAAAACTGTTATAATTTAATTAACACTTAATATTTTGTATCGGATCGCAGAAATAGAAATGAACACATAGGTATCGTAATGACCCGACAAACTTCTGCCGGCTTTATTACTTTCTCGTATATACGAAGTAGATCTATATAGAAAGTCTTGTAATCGTGCAAAAAAAAAAATCGATATTTTTGCAAATCTCGACGTTTTAGGGCTCCCTGAGTCGGAAAAACATAGTTTTGCAATCTTGTCCGTATGTCTGTGTGTATGTGTGTGTGTGTGTAAACAAGATAACTTGAGTACCGTTACAGCTAGGTTGATGAAATTTCATATATAAGTATTAAATCAAAATCGTAGATCCGTATCAACTTTTGAGCGATTTCCGATAACCGGAAGTGGAACTTTTTCTACTTTGAATTTTTCAAAAGCATATAACTGTCGAAACGGCCCGGGACAAATCGGCCCCTGACAAAACGACCCAGTCAAAATAGCCCCGTCAAAAGGGCCCCGACTTATTGGCTCCCGTCAAATGGGCTCCCGTTATATTGACTCGCAACATTTAGGCTCCCGACAAAGTGGCTCCCGACATATTGGCTCCCGACATAAGGGCTCACAACAAATGGGCTCCCGACAAATGGGCTCATGACATATTGGCTCCCGACAAATGGGCTCCCGACATATTGGCTCCCGACAAATGGGCTCCCGACATATTGGCTACCGACAAAATGACTCCCGACATATTGGCTCCAGACAAATGAATTGTATGACCACTATTGGCATAAAAGTGACCATTTTGTCCTACCTCCACTACTACTATAACCTCTTTTAAATGCCTGAATGAAGTTGCTTTTTCATGAAAAAAAAAAAACATCAATTCACAAACAAATCAAGCTCTTAACAGCTAAAATCTACCAATTCTAAAATTTTGATAATGTTTAATTTACAACAGTAAAGATCTGTTTCATAAAAGCGAGCACAGAAGTGAAAATGTACGACATACATGATGTTTATAGGATAACGACATTTTGTTTTGATAACCTACACGCATACTGCAGGTAGGAAGGTACAGCGTGGACCCGTCTCCCCACACACTGAGTTGGAACAGCCTTTAACCGACTCAATTATGGAAGTCATAGATAGATTACCCTTAAATTAAAACATACTATCTATATATATAATTCTCCTCTTCGAGCCGTTAGAAAACAAGCTGCAAACGCTCTCCCTACCTCCCCACCCCTACATGGTTTTAGTGAGCTGTGTTCACTCTAAATGTTTACAAGCAGAGCCAACGATTTTAAACGTGGGGGGGGGGGGGGGGGGAAGGAAGGGGGGGGGGGGGGTTATGGTCCTTAACGAGCTACTTATAGTGTTTTAAAGAAATATTTTTAGTGTCAGCGTTGGTACTGTCGAATTCACAAATTATGAATTATTGAAAATTAGAAACAACTAAATAGCGGCGTATGTTATGCCGCGGGCCGGCTCGTATTTTATAATCGATAAACTAACATAAAAATAAGGCCTGCCGAACAAGAGATGCATACGTTGTATTACTTAAGAGTGTTGGATAAACTAACTCTAAAGAATATTGATGAATGGGTCCCACTGGCAGGTGTCATATTCAATTAGACCGCTTTGCCGGGAGACTTAGTCTCTACAGAAACGGTATTGACAGTGGTCATTTTGTCTGGAGCCAAATTGACAGGAGCCTTTTTGTCGCGAGCCAAAATGACGGTAGCTATTTGTCGGGAGTCGTAATGACGAGGGCCGTCTTTTCTCTAAAAACTTAATGACGGGAGCCTTTATGTTGGGAGCCTTATTGACTGGAGCCTATTTGTCGGCAGCCTATATGACGGGGTCCATATGTCGCTGGCCCATTTGACGGGGTTGATTTGACGGGGTTATTATGTCGGGGCCGATTAGTCTGGGACGTTTTGACGGGGCCGTTTTGTCATTGGCCGTTTTGACGCCGCACGCCCATGTACTATGTATATATTTGTAATAATGTGTATTATAGTCTCCCATTGTGTTATTCAATAATTTAACATCTTAAAATACATGGTCACGCAAGTAAGTAAGTAGTGAGAATGAATAGCTCGCCTTAGGAGTAAAGTCAAAGTGTGTAATTCATACACCTTAAGAAATTTTTTTTTTTTAAATAATAAATAAATAAAAAGTGTATTTTTCGTTCTGTTACGTTTCTCGGATGTCAAATTGCTCGTAACTCATCAATTTTCTCCATTGAAAATAAGTAAAATATCATTAATCCGCTCCAGTCCCCAAAACGCCACGCATTTTTTGTTTGTTAATATTTTTTAATAAGAGTAGTGTATTTATGCAAGTCCCTATAAACTTATAGCACTTATCAGGTCAGTTTAAGTCCGGATGAACCCAGACTGGTTAAAATCCTAAACCAGGGGTCTCCAAACTTTTCAGCTAGAGGCATCTCTTTGGGGGTGGCAGAGCCCCCCCCCCCCCATGAAATATAATTTATATAGAAATATATGCTCATTTCAAGTGATCCCCCCCCCCCCCCCCCCACGGAAAAAAACGTCTGAAAGAAAGACTGTCGAAACAGTCTCACTCACACTTCTTCTGCCTTTGAATCCAATTCAGAAAAAACCGCTATGAAACTGGGTGGGGGTCTTTAATGATGTCGCATGCAAACAGAGTTTCTTCCAGGTATCTCTTCGGAAAAGCACCGCCCCCCCCCCCCGAAGAAAGTCTACCGCCTCCCCCCCCCCCCGAACGAAATGGAATTTATATAGAAAATATATACTTTTGACAGTGTCCGCCCCCCGGAAAATGTTGTCCACCCCCCCCCCCCCCCCGAAAATTTCAAGTGCACCCCCCCGGAGAAAAAAAAGTCTGAAAGAAACACTGCATGCAAAGGACATGGCGAACTCAGCTGTTGTTTCAGATATGAAGACCTAGCACTGCTGAAAGTGCGTCAAGTTGTTGGTCTGTACTTGTTCCAAAAACATGACAAGCTTGGATCTGAAGGCCTTTAGGGGGGTGTATAGGTCAGAAACTAGATTTCTATCTCTTGAAGTTTTAGGTTTGGAATATTTAAATGGCTAGTTGTGTCTGCAGCAGAGGCCAATTTATGTACCAACTCTTCATCAGACATTAATGGCTGTGGCTTGCCCTTACTTTCCAGGAAGTACCCGATTTCTTTTCTTAACTTAAATACTCAGTTCAGAACTTTCTCAAAACTTTGCCACCATCTTACTGCTGTGTAATATATTATATAGTAAATCTTGCAATTCTGTGTTCAGTAAAGTATACATTAACTAACGGAACGCACTTACCCTTCATATGATATACATGTTTTGGATATCAGGTAAAATTGTATACCCACCATTATGTTTATGATCTAACCTCTGTTTGTACACTGAGTGTGTCTGTAATTCAATGCACTTAATGAGCACATAAGTCAAGGTCATTTACAATTAACTTTTACCTCAAATGCCAGTCCAGGGCCTGGCCGTTACGGCTAGCTGTATTTAAAAGTATGCATTTTTTTGTTGTTTAAAACTGTCATATCGAGAACATCACTGATGTGAATAAGACAGAAGTATATTTGAAAGTAGTCTAGACATTTTTATGAGTGCAGAAAAATCTAAAACTGTATTATTTAAAGGTCTATTTTTATTTTTGATTCAAATATATGGCATTTTGGTAGTTAGGCTTATTTTTCCTGATTTCCAAATAATCGGTAGCATACCAAAGAATACAACTATAAAGTTTTGCAATTATTTTATGATTAAAAGAAATATTTTCTATACTATAAGGTGATAATAAAAAGTAATTTTTCGTAGGAAATAGTATCATGATCCATTTGGATGGGTGCTAGTTTTTTGCAATATTGCCATTGCAATCTGAGGATAACCCAAGTGTGTATGTATGTACTTAACGATGTTTTGAAAGGACAACATACATAAATCTTATGCATTTGAAACATTCAAATTATGTTTAAATAATATCACCTCTACCTAGGAGTCACAACATTTCCCATACATTGATGTTTTTATAACAAAGAGTGAAAACAAAGTGTTTAAAATCTTTTAATTGAACACTGCTTGCACTAGTAGGGTCAACTATTAAAAGGCATAACTCTAAAAATAAAAAACCTATACAATATGTGAAATCATTTACAAACAAAATAATGTCACTGCTCTAAATTTCACAAACAATTAAAAATGTAAATATTTAAAAAAAAAAAATAAGACTTCTAAAATGCAAACTTCATCAGTTCTATTATTGACTCAAAGCATCTTAAAAGAGAGCATTTCTGAAGACAGCTTGTCACCAATAAGAAATGTACCCTCAAATTTTGAAGATATTTGATGCTGCTTGCTAAAATGCTCAATAGTTGCAGAGTTAAAAGTGTCAAATAAAATTAGAATTCAGTACTTTACGCATTTAATTAACAACGTATATATATTTAAAAAAAAGGATAAATAACACTAGTTAAAGTAAAAAAAAAAGGAAAAGATTATTTTAACAGGTTTTTGAAGTTGTTACAATTAACTAGTCTCCCCCCCCCCCCCCTAGATTTTAAAACTTGTAAAATTAAAAATATTAATATAATAAGGATACTGGTTGTGATGACTTTTGGATGGGCAAAACACTGTACACTATTTACAGAGATTCATTTAAAAGCTTGATTCATGCTATTGAGAATTACATGTCTGACAACTAAAATTTATATGTAGATTAGTGTACTGGTGTCAATATAATAAAACAAAAATATGTCCTGAGGTTTAGTTTTACGGTCAATGTTTGAGTAAAGGTGAGGTCCACACTGCTGAGCTAGTTCTAGGTCTAAACTTTTTGTTTTTATTCCCAGGGAAGAGCACTCTTAAGTCATTAGGTATTTGAATAGAACTGATGTGGAATATTTCTTCTAGATCAGGAGGATTACAGTGTTGTTTGATTAATGCTGTGTTCAGCTGGGTACCTGGAAAAAATGATGAGTTTTCTTTTAGTGTTGGAACAAAAAACAAAGTTATTAAATTATGTTGAACTGACACAGACATAGTTTAAAAATAAACACCTTTTTATTTATTATTTAATTTTATCTTACCTGTTGCCCATTCAGGTATCCTTTTTTTAGGTGCCTCCTCATCATCTGTTGAATCATCAGATACCTTGTCCTCTATATCATAATTTTCTGGATCCCTTTGCTCATTTAAATTTATCTTTGATTTGGCTGGAGTTATTTGGTAACTATTGAAAAAATTTACATTTCAGAAAAATAATTCAATTTTAAAACTGAGCTATATATACATTGTAATGGGAAGTAAACATTAAATTAAACATAATGAGTGATCTTTGTAAGCTTGAATGCAACTATCTGGTTATATATATAATACACCAACCTTGTCACAGTCTTACTGCTTTGTGCACATGTTTTGTCAAGCTGTTTTGAGTCTTTTATCTTTAAAATAAAAAGAAATTGGCTTTATATTAAGAAATGTATATAAAGTAAAGAAGTGTTATATACTTGCTATATAATGTAATAAAACTATTATACATTAATGTTTTTAAAGGATGATAAAAGTATTTTTTTTAAAATTATCAATAATTTTTCTTAAGATCAAACTTATATGTCGACAGTACTCTGTTCTGTACAGACATAATTTCACTTTAAAATGAATACACAAATTATGAGTAATTTTTTTTTTACAGGAGTGAAGTCTTTAAAAACTCACCTTCATTTTATTGTCCTTTTCTTCAACCTTTAATAAATCCTTTTTCCTGTATAAGAAAAAAGTTTATATTTTCTATTAGTCTGATATATAAAGACTAACGCAAAATAAATTGAAAAATGTGCTAAGACTAAGCTACTCATCCCAATAGTTGTTACTCATTTGCTTTTTCTAACATGCATCAAACATTTTTTTCTTAACTAAAATTGTTAATTTTATGAAATAAAATGTAATAGAACACCAAAGATCATTCATTTAAATCAAAAGTAAATAAAAACAAAACAACTTTTTGTTTGTTCTTCTGATATTTTGATAATACCCCTCCAAAGTACAACAGTGAAAAAAGCATATCATATAGAACTGAGATGTGGCATTGGCAGGGGAGTGTGTTAGAATCCCCCTCCCAAGAAACTAAAAAAAATGACACCTGTTTCATTTTAAGTTACAGCTATTGGCAAAGGTGTATTTTGATTATAATAATATACACAAAAACAATCCACAATTTTACATTCATAAAATTGTTAATGGAATATGTATATACTCATATATACCTATATTATTAGCCCCCCCCCCCCCCCCCCCCCATTGAGAAACATATTATAAAATGTAATATATTGAAATTTACTGTCTTAAGCATGTTAAACAGGAAGGTATTGACAAATTAACACTCCTAAATCTGATGCCATCTAGACAAGGACATGACATTTTGTTTACTTACTCTTTTTCAACTTGTAAGAGTCTGGCTGCTTCCTGTCTCTTTGTTTCCAATTCTGCTAATCTTTGAGCTTGCTTTTTTTTCTCTTCAGCTAATAATCTTTTTTTTTCTACATCCTCAATTTTCTTTTTCTTCTGAAGATATTCTTCTTGCAACTTTGTGTTCTCTTCCTAAATAATGCAGATGCAATCATGTGTCAAGATTAAATCATATGAGACTGAAATTAAATGTCATTTAACATTAGTAAGACTATGTTTAAACTAATATAGTGATAAGTATAAATCATAGTAAGGAACAGTTGTAGTAGAGTATTTTAATTTAAACTCCTTTTCAGTAATTTTATGTGTAAAAATTCGGTCTGTTCTGATATAAATGGCATTAAACCTGATTAAGTAAATCATGTCTTCTGGCATTCACAAGCAGACATGCCTACCCCTGTCAGCCAAAAGTAGGAACAGTTATGCCTAAAAAGAGGAATTTGAAGCCAAAAAGAGGAACATACGCGCGGACGCAACTTTACTAAGTCAGAAAGAAAAATAATTAATTAAAAATTACTCTAATGACATAAGTAGGCTTCTAGTCATATTTAACTAGTCTCTAGGATACATTTAAATACTGCTTAATGTCAGCTTACATTTTAAAAAAATAAATTAACCAATAACCTGAGACCCCCCCCCCCCCCCCCCCCCCCGAATAAAAATCATAGTTTTGACATAACATGATTGATTTGATTATTTGTGTCTTGCTATGTTCTAGGCTATATGAATAACAAATGCTGAAGGCTTCATCATATGTACAGTTACAAGCAAAGACCCTTGATCTACCTACTAAAACTCCTAGTTACTTCTTACTAAGTTCTTCATAATAGTAGTTACTAGTTAAGTTAAACTTACAAGATAGATCAGTATTCACTATTTCAGTATCTACTAGTAGATCTAGTTTACAATTCTAGATCTAGTAGTAGTAGATATACTACTAACTAGATCTAGCATTAAGATGATACTTGTAAATATTGTAAGTAAACTAGGAAACAGAAACGTGTGCCAAAGGGAGATAATCGCTTTTTCCTGACAATTTTTCAATTTACTTTATTACCTTTCTTTATTAAATTTTTTTTCAAAAAAATCAGAACCAACTGAGTCAATTTCGGGATGACGGAACAAATTACTTTTTTAGGTGAAAAAGCGGGACGGTTCCGATTTTGGCGGGACGGTAGGCATGTCTGCACAAGTCTAGCTTTGGGGACTTTTGTGTAAATTATGTTTTTAAGTTGATAAACTGTGTATACAAAAAGTTTGAAAGATCGCTCTATATAATTTGACTAAAGAAAATGGTCTCTAAAGTTTTTGGGACTAACTAGTAAAAAGAAAACTAATTGAACCTGTTCAATTAATTTTTTTAAGCGCTCCTCTTCTTCTTGTTTTCTTCTTGCATCAACATCCATATGTCTCTTTAGTCTAAGAATAAATAAAAATCATAGACTGGTTGAGTGAACAAGATAATAGCAGCTGTCTAGGTTACCACTTGAAATACTTTTGTAAACTGTTGCCTTGATAAATAAGGCTGCCAAAAAAGACCAATTCATGTTTTCTTTTATTAACAAAGTTGAATGATCATTTAAAAAAATATACCTAGCAAATTCTACACAATACTGATTAGATTTTAACAAAGAATGTTTAGTGATTTATACCTGCAATGTAATTATTTAATATGCTGAGTAGTCAGGAGCAAAAGTAAGAAATAATATCTCTTTGTATATAAAAATCATTCATAAAATTCATTTGCTAAAACTTTGCTTGCAAATAGAAAATTTAATACCCCGCAGTAATAACCTAATTTTAAAAATTAAAAATTCCTGTACTTGAACAATTTTTCATGAAAATAGTAACTTGATCAAAACAGCAGCCAACTAAGCCCACCCATTTTGTCCACTGTGTATTTTAGTGGAAAGATATTTTGCAGATGACACATTTCAGCTAAACAGCAATGAACGGTTGATTGGGTCACAACACTCCTTAAAAGTTTACCCACCATAACAGTTATAGTATCATAGCCCTTTAATAACAAACAATTTTCTAGACTACTGATAAATTTTGGTAGGTGAACTTAAAGGTAACATATGTAGTTTTTAAATATTTAAGTAGTACAAAACAATAATGAAGTTTAACAGAGGTAGCAAAGTAAATCCAAATTAAAGTAATTTAAATTTTTGGTACTGTCAATAATTAACAGATCTAAATAACAACCTTAGCTTTTGCTTTCCTTTCTCCTCATTGAGCCGCTTCTCCATTAACTTTTCAGTGAGAACATTTTTGTCTTCTGCCTTCCTATTTATTTTTTCCTTTAGTTCTTCTTCCAACTGTATCTTCATCTCTCTAGCTTCAGCTACTTTGCGCTCTTTTTCTGCTCTTATTCTAAAGAAAGAAGTTTCTTTTTAAAGCACCAGAAAAAAATTATTTCCAATTGATATTTAAATATTTTCAATGTATTTTGTAAAATTGTCATTGAGTAATGTTTGATTCCTGTACTGCAAGTGGTAGTCCTTATACTATCTTATTACTAGGCCAAAAAAAATAAAATAATATCAGTACTGTTTTTTAATGTATCTCACCTTTTCTTTTCCTCAATTCTGTTTCTTCTCATCTCTGCAGCTTTTTTCACTTTCTCTTTTTCACGGTTTTCTTTTTCAAGTAACAACATCTTTTTCTGCTCTAAACTTATCTGAGATAAAATTCAAAGAATTAAGACCAAGGATACAAAGTGCAGTAAACACCTTCTTGTTCTAGATGTTAACAAGCTTGTATAAAAGCTAATTTCTTCACAAAAACATCTGTACTATATCCAAGGGGCTCCATGCCAAGTGACTCTTAACACAAGGATCAGCAAGTTGCTGACAAAGAGTAACCAATAAGAGCAATTCTAATAGCTCTTGAGTAATATAACTAAGTATCCTTGGAAAAACCCTAAGTCATGCAATCTGCTAAATCAATCTATTGAGCTTTTAAGCAGCAATAGACCAGACAAATATATTTTTGTTAAATTTATTTAATTACTTTAAAAAGGTTTAAAACAACTTCTTTTAAATATTACCATACAGTGTGAGTAAAAGACTACAACAGTGATTTCCAAACTTTTTGTAACTGTGCATCAAAACAAACATTTGCACCTCTCAACCTCAAAGTAATATTTATATATATATAAATATATATATATAAATATATATATATATATATATATATATATATATATATATATATATATATATATATATATATATATATATATATATATATATATACACACACATATTTACAGTTGTTCATAATTATTAAAGTAGAACATCTGATGATGAGGTAGTTGACACACTGGAAGCTTAATTTAGAACATACACTGACAGACAAAACATCTTCTGATAAAAGAATTTAATCATATATGACAAATTTAGTTATTAAGTAAATTTTTGCTAAACTTTTCATTCCTACACAAAACACCTGTCTATTTGGAAACCACTGGGCTATAGTATCATAACATAGGTCTTATTTTTTGAAAACTTACTTGTGACGTTGGTTTAGGAGTATTAGACTTTTTGAGAAAAGATGTGGTGATACCATTTGTACGATTGACTGAGTTATTGAGGAAACTATACAACTTGCTTGTGTTCATCCCAAAACCTGGAGTTCGATTTAAGAATCCCGATGTCTTTTTTTGAGCACTGCTAAATTTAAAAGCCCTGGGACTCTACAAATTACATTTAATTAAAAGCATGTTACTTTGTAATGAAAAGTATTCATAAAAGCTAAGAAAATTTAATGTAGTGACGAAATAAAAAAATGACACAACCAACAGTTGATAACGTAATTATATAGACATTTAAATTATGTTTAACAAATAAATTAAAGCAGTATAAAACCGCTCTATAAAGGGCTACCTGTATGGGGGACAGGAAACTTTCATTCTCATTTCTTACTGCACCACCTAGTGAAAATATTTTAAAACATAACAAACAACAGATTTTTTTCAGTTTAAATAAGAAACAAGGCATACCATATTATACATATAATTAGTCTAAAGTAAAATGAAAACTATAAGACATTAAAAATATACAGACCATTCTTTATAGGTGATGATGATAACAATGGAGTATCAGAGCTCGGCTTGAATAAAAGTGAGAAAGTTGCATCATTTGTATATATTTTTAAAAAATTTCTTCGTTTCAAACATATAAAAATCAGTCAAAACATAGTCAACTAGAAAAAGTGTAATTCCCTAATTAACCATTTGGTCAGGTAGTTAGACAAGCTGCTGATTGTATTTAAAAAAAACAACTGACTCAAGTAAGAGACTTACTCCAACCTTTGACTTCCCACAATTGAATCGTTTAGGGCATGGAGACAGTCCTCTTTCTTCAACATGTCGCTTCTTTCCTGGTCTTTTGGGTAAATAAAAAAAGCATTGGAACACAAACCACAAAAACAAAAATGAGATAATAGCAAGTTGCATGCTCTAAAAATTTAAAATATTTACAGAAATTAAAATATGAAGCTGCATAGACAAATGACACAGAATGTCTTGTTCCAGGGAGTTAGGATATATTATTTGAAAGCAATGTACAGAGAGCATCCTGTATTGCTTGATCAGACTCCAACTTTATTATAACAGTTTCTGTGTGAATTAGACCATGTGTTTTGTTTCCAACTAGTTAGAAAGTGGTTACTCTTAATTAGGGTGTTACTAGACCTACTAACAGTTTAAGTCTTCTAAAACAATAATGATGTTTAAAATCACATGTGACACCTTACTCTTAATTTAACTAATCTAATACATTGATTGTGCCTAATACAATACTTTCATTACAAATGTCTTTATGTATAGGTTTGTCTAAGACATTCACTCACAAGGCAGGATAAAACACTTATTTGCTGTTCTATAATATTTTTAGAATTTGGATTATTTAAAAAAAAAAGTATTGGCTTCAAATAAATGTATTGACCTTATAGAAGAGCGGGGTAGTTGTATTGCAGGTGAACCAGCAATAACTTCATCATCACTGCAACAGTCTGTGAGTTTGACAGTTTTTGCTTTCTCCACTTCACATGGCAACGGTAGAGAGTCAACATGTTGTACTGGAGAGGAACTGTGGATAAATGTTTGAGCTCTTGCATTAGGTTAGATGCTCCTTTCTATAATCATCTTGTATTTAAGACAGTAACATTTTCAATGAGCTGGGGCTATTGAATCAATTTTCTACATAACTAATATGATATTTTAGATTTTAAGTTTAAACATAAAACATAAACCATGACCAATAATTTGTTGTTTTAAACATAATATGAAAACTCACCATAATGTTGGCCTATCCAAATCCATTGTTAGTCTTTTTTGATGTAGCTGTTTTGCATTTTGACTACTGATTTGATTGTTGACACTTTTGGTTTGCTCTAAGCGAGCTCTGCTCCTTGTCACTTTAGGTTCACATTGGGGTGTGTCAAAACAATCTTTATGATAAGTAGTATTCATTGGTGAGCTGGTCATTTCCTCTGGCTCTCCATCCATTTTGTCTGTAAGGAGTGTTCTTTCATAGGCTATTGGCTGCTTTTGATAAATACTGTTAGGTGATTCTTTCATCTTAAATTCAACCTTAGCCTCAACTATTTGTGGGCTTTCTTTTTCTTTGTTTGTGTCATCATCACTACCTTTTTCAGACTGAATGCCACTGTCGACTCTATGGGATTTAGACCTGACTTGTTTCTCCTTGGAATGCTGACAAGACTGTCCTTGGCTGGATCTAGCAGACTGTCGTAACTGAGAAAATCTACTGACTTGTTTCTGTGGTGATGGATCAACAATAACTAGATTATCTACTCTACTAACTTTCATTTTAGCTGAGTCAGGTTTACATGCCTTAGGTGTGACATTATCTCCAGGTGGTGCACACTTGGGAGTTTTAACTATTTGTTTGGTGACACTATTTTTAATCAAATTCTCAAAGACAATGGTCCTTTCCCTAACACTTGGACTTTTCAATTCTAACCTTTTTGAGATTAGGTCCTCAACTGTTGTTAGAACATCAACACTATTATTATCCGCAAGACTTTTTGATTTTTGTCCTGACATTTTAGTCATGGTTTCATTTGAAATTATGTCATTTTTATCCAGCTTGGGACTTGGAACTTGTTTTAAGGCGAGCTCTGATCCTGGTTGTGTTGCTTTAAAAATACTCTTACAACTACGCAAAGGACGTGTGTTGCAAACAGGTTTCTTTTCAATCTGTACATCTGGACTAGTAACAAAATAAAATATATAAACTATAACTGAAAGTACTAAGAAATATGTAATATATTATCTTTTAACTGTTAATCTACTAACATGGGGACTAATTCTAAAAAAAAATTAAATTATGTTAACAAATTTATAAAAATACGCTTTTTAATTTTATGCACTAAAAAGAAAAAAAATTGATGATACCCCATAATTTACACAACTATAAATGAGTGTATTGGCTACTATAGGTATCTATAAGTATTTTCAGAAGTAATGAAGCTCATTTTACCTTTGAGATATAAAAAGCTATACATTTCAGAATATATAAACAGAGATAAGGATATTTATACTTGGTATATAAATCATGGTGTAGTACAATATTGTATTCTTTTTAGTGCATATACTTAAAGCTTCTTTTTTTTTTAAAAATCAAGCTTTTATTTTCTACTTTGACTAGGTAAAGGAATGTTTTTTTTTTAAAATTAGCACCATGTGCGATAGCTAAAACCATAAACATATGAGCAACTGATAGTTAATACCTTGATAATCTTCATGCTTAAAACCAATTGAAAATGGTAAATCCTTTGTACAGATGGCGTACCATTGCTTTTATATTCTAACTAATATTTACAAGAATGGGCATTTCTACTAAATCAAATGAATATTTAATCTATGGCTTGACCAAAAATTACCTTTGAGTTTCTAGCTTCAGCTTCTTTGGTAGTAGAGGAGAAAATATTTCTTCTTTCTCTTCAATATTTGACACTCTGTTCTTTCTAAGCCTTTTTTGTCCAGGCTTCTTTTGACATGGGGTCTTTGGCATCTGGGATAGCTTGGTGCTGATGGAATTGGAATTTAAAAAAAAATAATCAGATATTAGAGCAAGATAGCTGTTTGTTTTAAATATTATAAGTTGGAATACAATTTAACAAAACAGTTAATTGAACTTGAATTTTATTGATTTCTTTTTATGCAATGTGAGTTATCTACCGTTCCAGGTTGTATGTCTTTTAAACGTGTAGAGGGGATGGAAGCAGGCGTTGTTACTGAAATATTAATGTAAACGGAAAGTGATATTTCAACGCCAAGGGTAGACAAAGGTAGAGCTGATTGGCAGAAGTATTTGCACGTTTGACTTGATGCATGGAGGGTGAGGCTATTTGGTGCAGCGTGAATTGGTAAGTTCGAATCACATTGGGCTTAAACTGTTTTGTCTCTACATGGACTATATTCTGTACGTTTGTCTACCCTTGGCGGTGAAATATCACTTTCTGTTTACATTGCTATGTATGACTTTTGACAGTGTTGGCTACATTCCAGGCATACATGTATGTTAACATAAATGATACAGTGACCAGAAAGATGCACAACCGAAAACAGTGCGCAAGGGCAATTTTTTTCTTATATTGACCATTTATTTATAGAACAAAGAGTGACTACATGTACATTGTAGCATAATAAAACGTATTTCCTCAAAATATGACAAAATTAATGTATATTAGTATTATTAGTTTGTATTTGCGCATTTTTACTTTCTCATATACGAAGTATAGAAGTATTGTAATAATGCAAAAAAATATAAATCGAGAGACGTATTACACCTCCCTGAGTCGGAAAAACATAGTTTAGCAATTTTGTCTGTATGTCAGTGTGCGTGTATGTGTGTCTGTGAACAGGATAACTTGAGTACTGTTACAGCTAGGTTGATGAAATTTCATATATAAGTATTATATCAAATTTGATCTGTATAAACTTTTCAGCGATTTCCGGTAACTGGAAATGGAACTTATTCTACTTTCAATTTTTCAAAAGCCTACAACTTGAGTACTGTTTCAGATAGATAAATAAAATTTCACATGTAAATGTAAGTAAAAGATATAATTCTCTGCCTTCTGTCATCAAATTTTGAGTAATTTCTGTTGATTGGAAGTAGTAATTTACGCTTTTTCCAATTTCTTAAAAAACATGTGAATTAATAAAGTACTAATAATATTCCACACTATTATACATATGCTGTTTGCCGTTCACTTGGTGCGCAATTCTTTTTTCTACGAGATTCTATTCTATTTTAAAAAGTTTAAGTAATTAAAAATGGATTAAAAATCATGTTATATCAAGAGTTGCCTTCCCCGTAGTGTTATATAAGAATATTCGAGAAAGTTTAGGGGAGATCACTTCCAGTTTATTCTATTTGTGCTGTTCTCCGATAACGCATTCTTCTGGGAACTGAATGATATGTTATAGCCGAAACATGAAGTTGACCACTTGGCAAATTGACCAGCAAGTTTGTGACCAGCCAAAGTCTGAATTAGATTATGAACAGACTTTGGATGTATGTTTGCTGTTTATATAATGAAATTAATGCCTTTATTGATTAGTGATTTAAGTAAATTACAAAATCAGTCAAATTATCCTATTGTAGTAAATTATCATTCTTTATGACATTCTGTTTTTTGTATATTTGCAGCTAATTGTTATGTGCTTGGTTCGGTAATAGCGTTATGTGTAGCACTGACCACGGGTCAGTGATTGAGAAGAAACAAGGATTGGCAGATCTATAAAAATGTTATATGTTTCTTCGGTTGGGCTAAAGCATTAGCAAATGTAAGTTATGAAACAAAATATAACTAGCCAAAAGTCTGTTAAAATAAAAAAAGCACATATAGAGGAAAATTTCTTCAAGGACGAAATGCTGACTTTTCAAAAGTAATTTCTTTAGCGTCCTACTGTTTTGCAGCAAATGCTGGAACATAACAACCACATTCAGCAGATCACATCACAAGAATGATAATTAACTGGACACAACTTATTTTATTTCAGGTAGTTTGATAGTATGGTAAAACAACCTCTCCCCCAAAATATAGAACTAATCGAATATTTAACTCAACATTATACTGAAGTTGTACTGGAGGATACTATTTTCCTATTTATTATCAATTGTAATTTTAATAATCAAAACCTAAAAATTACAAATTTTTACAGATCTGATATCACAATCAAACAAACGTAGTATGCAGATTACAAATGCTTCATTTCTATAATTTTCTAACCAACATATTTACATTTCAAGCAAAAATTGAAAAAAATTACATCATCTGATGCACAAAGACAACTCACCTTTTGACAGAAAACATATGGTATGCCTCTTCCACAATTTCGTCCAGCCATGTGAATTCTTTTTCTATTTCTCCTAATGTTTTTTCCAAAAAATTTTGACACACCCCATATGGTATTAAGGAGTGAAAGGAATTCTTTAGATTTCTAAACCAATATTCAGCCTCCATCATTGAGGATTTACCACCTAGGTCAAACTATTGTTTTATGCTATTTACAAGTTGATAAGTTCAACGTGCAGCATACAGAAGATTATTTTTCTGAAATACAATTAATTTTGATAAAACTAATACAAAAATGTATTAAATTCATCTGATAAGTAATCAATTAAATTACATGTTTATTCAACCTATTCCATTGCAAAGTACACACATTACTTAATAACTAACCTATAAATTTAAAGTCCAAACTCATTTAAGAGAGCTGAATTACTTCCAACACATAGATGCAAAAAGTTCTAAAAAATGTCCTGCTCTATAAGAATATGATATAAAATAATTAAACAGCGCATCCGAGTCCACTCAATTCTGATGGGTATCTTACTTACGTTAAGGGAAGAAAAGGTGGCAGAGCATAGAGATAACCACACTATTCCCCTCATACACAGAGTTTACAGAAATGGGTGAACTATACTTTAGCTGCCAGGTCCAAAGGGAACTTTATATGGTAATCTATCATTTTAGGACAGTAAAATTGACTGACTAGGGTTAGGGTTAGGATTAGCATTTACATTAGTCAGCCAAGTGTGTATTTAGTTAACTAGACTATTAATAACCTAAAACCCCCTTTTTAAAGAAGATTCTATTTTCTGACACTGGTATAAAAATCCTCCCATTTTTGTAACTTTCAAAACAGAAATCGGTAATCTCATAATATAGCGTCGGAAATTATCTGGTAATGTTTGTTAAGTTTCTGAAACATTTGTTACTGTAAATCATAGTTTATTTGACAGTTGAAATAGAAATAAAGTCAAGGGATTAATGTTTTAATTTAATTTATAGTTTAATTGACAGAAAATTAGCAACAATTAGTAAATTTAAATATTATTAGGCCTAATAAAATCGAGTGCAGTAATTAATGTTTTTTTAAGAAACAAAAAAAAAAACTTGCAGTTGCAAGATCTAATCTAGATTCTAGATCAAGTAAAATAAAACGATTAGATTTACTAAAGCTAAAAGTAATAAGAAGAACTAGAACAATGTTTAGTAGCAGCAATAATTAGCACTACACTTAAAATAATTAGAAATACTATTAGCAACAGTAGGCCCATTTAAAATGCAACTACAATTAATCCATGCACATTTTCAAACATTATGTAGTATGTAGGCCTATTATAAATAATATGGTGGAAAATAAATGATGGTTTACAGTATTTCCAGTGGTTTCCGGAATGGCTCGACAGACTACGCCATGGTTTTACTGTTTTTTACTGCTATACTATTCCGGAATAATAACCGACGCTATATCGTGATTTTACCCTGAAAATGTGAAATAATTACTAAAATTTAACAAGTCACCTTTTTTTCACATTACTAGTCTCGGCCGATTGTACGTACCTAAAAGAATAGATTAGGCCTAGGGGCCTACCTAATTTTTTTTTTTACTTTTTAGTCGTAGGTCTACTAGAGACACTCTACTAGAACTAGAAAATTAAGGAGAGGGAGAGATTCTAGCACTAACTAGTCTAAAACTAAAAAAAAAAAGTCACTAGGTCCTAGGCCCTCTAGCCGGCTACATCTAACTAAAAAAAAAAGGTAATCTATCGTTTTAGGTACGTAAAATCGGCCGAGACTAGTCATGTGAAAAAAAGGTGACTCATTCAATTTTTATAACTTTTTCACATTTTTAGGAGGATTTAGGTTTCTATGTTTTGAAAGTTACAAAATTGTTTTAAAGTTTCATTACATTAATGTAGATCTACCTGTTTTAAACAACTGTATTTAAACTTTTCAGTAAAAACAAGCATTTTTTTCATCAGATGCAACCAAGCTCATTTACTTCAGCAACCATCTTAAGTTGTTTTTCTTTGTATAGTTAGAGATTCAGGGGAAACCACTCTAACTTACAGATGGCCGCTGTTTAAATACTATTACTATAGCAAATCTTGCTCGCAAACACTGCTGTTTAAAGTTAATTTCTGGCCTATGCGCTATAATATTGATAAATTTAGCCATTTATTTTAGTTTATTTTTCCGTTATCTATAACATTTGCCACATATATATCACAATATACTTCTATTAAAGCCTTAACAATGAGGCAACTTTTTCGCACATTACAATACTAGCCTCGGCTGATTTTACGCACCTAAAAAAAGGGTAATCTATCGTTTTAGGTACATAAAATCGCCCACGGCTAGTAATGTACGAAAAAGTTACCTCACTGTCAAGGCTTTAGGCTAATAGAAGTATATTGTGATATATTTGTGTCAAATATTATAGATAAATGAATAATAAACCTAAATCAATGGCTAAATATATCAATATAGATCTAGGCAAGAAATTAACTTTAAACAGCAGGGTTTGCGAGCAGTATAAAAAGCTGCCATCTGTAAGTTAGAGTGGCTTCCCCTGAATCTTGCGCTATAAGTTTACAATAAAAAAATAATAAACAAAATGGCTGCTATAGTAAATGAGCATGGTTACATCTGTTGGAAACATCGCTAGTCTTCATTTATTACTGAAACGTTTTAATTCAGTTGTTTAAACGAAGTGTCTACTCGGAAGAAGATTTTTCTCCCCAACGTCTCCACTTAGTCAGCAAAAGATAGCTCTGCGCATGCGCAGTGACCTATGGCTAGGGCTAGAATGAGGGTTAGGGGTAGGATTAGGGATAGGGTTAGGATTAGAGCTAGGGTTAGGGATAGGGTTAAGGATAGGATTAGGGTTGGTGTTAGGGTTTTGCGGTTGTAAACACACGCATGCGCAGTACAATCGAAAACATCGCCGCTAAGGCAAGTCGTAGTTTCTCTCCATTGCGCATGCGTATCTTATTCCGGCTAGAATCGGCCTTGTTTAAAACCAGGTACATAAATGAAACACTTTTGTATTTTTCAAAACATAAATTCTCCTCAAAATGTGAAATAATTATTAAAATTTAAGGAGTCACCTGTTTTTCACATTACTAGATCTAGTTGCGGGCGATTTTACGTACCTAAAACGATAGATTACCAAAAAAGGCAAAAAACGATAGTCGATCGATACTGAGCTGTGAGAGTGATAGATTACCAAAAAAAGACTCTAGTCTAGTTAATTTTTTTTATTAGACTAGATATTCTAAATTCTAATAAATAGCAGATGTAGATCTAGATCTAATTGTTTTTCCATAATGTTTTAAAGTAACTTAATGCATTGATTAGACGCCTAAATCTAGATTTTTAGATCTTTGTCTTGTTTACCTTTATTTACCGACAAAAAAACTAGATATCCGCGATTCAAATTTCGGAGCGGAACCGCTGTTGTGCATATAAAATATTAGGCACACATTAAATTTTAAAAACGTAGCGAAACAATTTTTTAAAGTTACTAAAGTCAAAATCTATAGATCTACACCTGAAATACTAAGAACAGCTATGAAAGTTATTAGAAAGAGTTATAAAGAAATAGATGTAGTAAAAATAGCAAAGAACAGAAAAACATGAAAGGATACGTCGTCGTAAATTGTAGATCTATTACGATTTGAAAAAGGCGAAAAAAAATTCACAGACAGATCTAATTGATTAATTTTCTTTTTTACTTTCTCGTATAGGCCCCTACAGAGCAGAGTTTCTTCCAGGCATCTCTTCGGGGGGGGGGGCTGAATTTTTTTACCGCCCCCCCCCCCCCCCCGAACGAAATGAAATTTATATAAAATATATATAAAATATATACTTTTAACAGTGTCCGCCCCCCGAACGCCCCCCGAAGAAAGTCTACCGCCCCCCCCCCGAAAATTTCAAGTGCCTCCCCCCCGGAGAAAAAAGTCTGGAAGAAACACTGCTACAGAGTATAGATTACTATAGAGAAAGTCTTGTAATCGTGCAAAAAAAAAAATCGAGATTTGCAAGGATTTTCGCAAATCTCGACGCTTTACACCTCTCTGAATCGGAAAAACAGAGTTTTGCAATCTTGTCCGTATGTCTGTGTGTGTATGTGTGTGTGTGTGTGTGAACACGATAACTTCATTAACTTGAGTGCCGTTACAGCTAGGTTGATGAAATTTCATATACAAGTATTATATCAAATTTGTAGTTCTGTATCAACTTTTCAGCGATTTCCGGTAACCGGAAGTGGAACTTTTTCTACTTTAAATTTTTCAAAAGCCTAAAACTTGAGTAGGTCTACTAGATCTATTTCAGATAGAGAAATGAAATTTCACATGTAAGTAAAAGATCTAATTATCTGCCTTCTGTCAAATTTTAAGCGATTTTCGTTATCTGGAAGTAGTAATTTAGGCTATTTCCGTTTTCTCAATAAACGAAAATGAATTTATAAAGTACTAATAATGTTCTGCACTATTATACTCATATTGTTTGCCATTCACTTGGTGCGCAATTCTTTTTTCTACGCAATTCTATTGTATTTTAAAAAGTTTAAGTAATAAAACATGGACTAAAAATCATGTCTATATCCCGCGTTGCTATCCCCCGTAGTGTTATATAAGAATATTCAAGAAACTTTAGGAAAGATTACTCCCGGTTTATTTTACAAGCTTTTATTTAACTTGATTTTTACTTTCTCGTATATACGTAGTATAGAGAAAGTATTGTAATCGTGCAAAAAAAAAATCGAGATTTTTACAAATCTCGACGTTTTACACCTCACTGATACGGAAAAACATAATTTTGCAATCTTGTCCGTATGTCTGTGTGTGTGTGTGTCTGTCCGTGTGTGTGTCTGTGTGTAAACACGATAACTTGAGTACCGTTACAGCTAGGTTGATGAAATTTCATATATAAGTATTTTATCAAAATCGTAGATCCGTATCAACTTTTGAGCGATTTCCGATAACCGGAAGTGGTACTTTTCCTACTTTGAATTTTTTAAAAGCCTATAACTTGAGTACTATTTCAGATAGATAAATGAAATTTCACATGTGAGTAAAAGATCTAATTCTCTACCTTCTGTTAAATTTTGAGTAATTTCCGTTGACTGGAAGTAGTAATTTACGCTACTTCCGATTTCTCAAAAAAACTAATGTAAATTTTAAAAGTACTAATAATATTGCGCACTATTATGCGCTTTTTTTTATTTGCGTTCACTTGGTGTGCAATTAATTTGTCTACGAGATTTTATTCTATTTTTAAAACTTTAAGTATTTAAAATGGATTAAAAATCATGTCTATAGCCCAAGTTCCCATCCCCTGTTATTTTATATAAGAATATTCGAGAAAGTTTAGGGGAGATCACTCCCGGTTTATTCTGTTTGTCGTCATGGATCAAAACTGGATAGCAAAATTTCGTCCACTTCCAACCAATCAAATTCTCTGAAACTTGGCACGTGGGTCAAGACTTGATAACAAAGCGTTCTAACATCAAATTTGACTTAATAGAATACTTAATCAATTTTTAAAGAATTAATTAACTAATTACATTTTCTATACTATGTAAAGTAGCATTTTCTGCGCTACTTGTACACAGTTTTTTCCAAGTACATTTAGTGCGCAATTGTTTTTAGTCATCAAATCTATTATATTAAAAATTAAAACACTGAACAAAAATACATTTAAAAGTTTTAATAACAAGCTTTTAAATATATACTAACTAGCGTGCCCATCCTCATGCATTTCCGCGGGTTTAGAAGAACGTCTGACGAAATTTATTAAGAGGACGTTTCATCAATGCGTTACCAATCTATATATATAAAAAGCAATGTATGTCTGTGTGTCTGTGTGTGTGTTTGTCCTTTATGCATTACTACACCCAGAGTTTCTTCCAGGCATCTCTTCGGGGGGGGGGGGGGGGGGGGCGACTACACCTCTCATCACATCGCCGTGAAACTTTGGGAAGTTGTTGAGAATATTCCTGGGGAGGTTCCTGCGAAAAAAAAATTCAAATTCGCAGGGGTGGCGCCCCGACAGGGCGCGATTTGTTTTTCTCTATATACGGTATATAAAAATAAAAAGTCGATTTTGGTATGACATCGTTCATCTGCTAGACATGAGACTTTGGGAAGTTCATAATAACACTCCATGGAAGGGTTCTGTAAAAAAATAATTTTTAATTTCGCAAGGGCGGCGCCACGGGAGGGTGCGATTTTCCTCTATATATGGTCTATAAAAATAATAAAAGTGAATTGCAGTGACACCGCTCCACCGATAGGCATGAAACTTTGGGAAGTTGTTGAGAATATTCTTTGGGAGATTTCTGCGAAAAGAAAATTTCAAATTCGCCGGGGTGGCGCCCCGGCAGGGCGCAATTTGTTTTTTTCTCTATATACGGTATATAAAAATAAAAAGTCGATTTTGGTTTGACATCGTTCATCCGGTAGTCATGAGACTTTGGGGAGTTCATTATAACACTCTAGGGAAGGGTTCTGCAAAACAAAAATTAATTTATCAAGGGCGGCGCCACGGGAGGGTGCGATTTTCCTCTATATATGGTATATAAAAATAATAAAAGTGAATTGCAGTGACACCGTTCATCCGATAGGCATGCAACTTTGGGGAGTTCATTATAAAAATCTAGGGAAGGGTTCTGTAAAAAATCATTTTTAATTTCGCAAGGGCGGCGCCACGGGAGGGTGCGATTTTTCTCTATTATATATACGGTATATAAAAATAAAAGTCGATTTTGGTGTGACACCGTTATCCGATAGCCATGAGACTTTGGGGGTGTTGATTAGAACAATTCAGGGAAGGGTTCTGTAAAAAAAATCCTCTTTTAATTTCGCAAGGGCGGCGCCACGGGAGGCTGCGATTTTTCTCTATATACGTTTTATAAAATTTCGGTTTCACACCGTTCATCCGTGTACCATGAAACTTTGGGGAGATGATTAGATCACTCAATGGTAGGGTTCTGCAAAAAAAATATTGTTTAATATTGCAAGGGCGGCGCCCCCGGGGGGAGCAATTTTTTCTCTATACACGGTATATAAAAAATAAAACTCGGATGCGGTTCATCCGAGTGCCATGAAACTTTAGGGAGTAGATGAGAATACTCCCGAGAATAGTTCTGCGAAAAAGAAAACTAAAGTTTCTTATGGGCGGCGCCATATAGGGTACAACTTTCGTCAATACGCGGTTTGGCGCCCAGAGTTTTAGAGCGACTATGTTGGCACTTGGCATCCGTTAATCGAGCGTCCTGCATAGCGAGTAAGGGGTACTACTATATTCAGCGGTAAAACTACAACAGGCTTCTAAAAATAACTTTGTAACGTGAGGAAATCCTTATGTACAGTTTCGTCACCTTGCGAAAGATGAAAAAAATAACTTTTTGAATATGAGGAGGCTACTGTAGAGTTTCGTCACTTTGCGAATGATGCAATAAGCATCTATTATTAGACAATCCAGTCAGAAATTGAGATCGAGCATCTAATAATAGACCATTAGTAACGCTAGCATATTGCATCAGTTACACTGATATTTAAAACACGTCAAATAATTTTTTTACGTGTTAAAGAAAAAATCCTGTTCATTTGTGTCACTTTAGCAAATGACGAAATCTGCATCATTATTAACAGGATGCTATTTGGCTCGATGGCGCCTGTTAGTTTTAAGGAGCCAGGGGTCGTACTCCGCGCCTATGCGGTAGTCTAATCGGGGGGTGGGGGCCCTAAGAGCGCCCCTCTACGTCTCTGACACATGAGCGGTCACCGAAGTGTGTTCTACCATATTATTTTGGTGAGTGATTAATATACACTCAATGTTTTCATGCGGTAGTGTAGGTAAACCCGTGTCCCGATATTTATGATCCAAGCGCAGGCATTGTTTACATTTAAATAACTCACTTTTAGAAAAGACGGTCACGCGTCTAAGAACATATGATTGGTAACGCGTTGGTGAAATCCTTCTAATACATTTCGTCAAACTTTCTTCTATCCCCGCAGCAACGCGCGGGGGACGGGTGCGCTAGTCCTATATATTCTTAGACCTGTGACCTTTTTTTTTCGGCTACCGTCAGGGACGTAGGGGAACGCCCTCGATTACACTACCGCACGGGCGCAGCCTACGGCTCCTGGCTCTATTTAATTGTTGAATGTTGTGTGTCACCGTGTCAATCATGTAGGATGCTCTTTAAAACTTAAGTAGGCGACATAGTGCTCAACGGATAGGGCAAGGCGCCAAATTGCACCCTGCCTGCGAACGCGCCCCATTAAATTTAGTGAACAACTATGACATCCCATCTTATCCTTAGTCTATCGCATTGTTTAAAACGAAAGTAGGCGTCAAAGCGCTCACGGGAAAAGATGGGCCGCCAAAATCACACCCTGCGTGGGTGCTGGCTGTGCAAAATTGAAATTTTTTTTCCACAAAAACATCGCCACAAGTATTCTCAACAACTTCCCAAAGTTTCGTGGCGATCGGATGAGAGGTGTAGAAATGCATAAAAGACATACCAACTAACTACTACACATAGATTGCTTTATATATATATAGATGAACAACTATTTAAAAAAACTAAAAAAAGCCTGCCTTGCATCTTAAGTTGTAGTAATCATATTTAAAACATAACATAGCGATCTACCCTTTCCCTTTTAGTTCCCTAAACCTATTAAAAAGTTATGTTAGGGTAAGTAAATGTTCTGGACAGAATAAGAATAAAGACATAGTGTACTTGGCAGTTACCTTTTTTTGTATTCTAAAAATATGGTGTTTTAGTACTTTGTCAGCCAATTTTAGGCATTCTCATTTTATTTTTAACAATGTAAAATATTCTTGAGAGTAATGGGGGAGAGGAGGCTTATTACCTGATGGGGGAGGAGTTGATTGACAGGGGGGGGGGGGGGGGTAATTTATTTTTGTGAGGGGTAATAACCATGGAATAGGCCTACTTGACAGTGGGGTAATTTGTTAGACCCAGATCAGACATGTAGCAAAAACTAAACACAAGTTCAATGATGAATATTTAATTCCAAAATCCATTAACAACAAGCATACTGTAGTGCAGTAACTCAAAACTACAGTGTAAATAATTAACTAGTGCATATCATAAAAGTATTAAATCTTAAATAAATAGCCTCCTTTTACAAGTCTAGCAAATTTGGAAAAATAATTTTTATTTTAATCTCAATGTAACTGCATTTAGGTTTAGACAATTAAAATATTAGTGTATTTAAAAAAAATATAATATTTAAAAATAAAAATAAATGTGAATTATTATTACTCAATATAAAGAAAGTTGTAAGATAAACAAATATGCTCTGTTAAGATATATCATACAGGCCTACTACTGGGTTTTTTTCAATCACTGAGGCCTAATTCATACTCGATACCTGTAGACAGTTAACAGCCTTCAAGATAAACATAAAGCTTAAAAAGTAATGAAAGTGGTGTAAAACATACATGGCTGTTGTATCTTGTTGAAGCGGAAAAAATACATTAAAAAGTATGCTTCAGTCAATCACATTTTTAATCTTTAGCTATCCATCAGATCTAGTAGGTCTGAGTCGTCTCCCCTTGCCCCTCTGTCATCTACTGCCATTTCACCCATGATCTTAGTTAATTCTAGGCTTTTAGATTTTTTTGAAGCATCAATGTTGATGACTTTGGATTCAATAGCTTCAATAGGCTGAATACTTGCAGCTTCCCTGAAATAAATTCCATGATCATTTATAGAATTAAATTGTAATTCAGTATATTTAAACAGTTTATTTTACATTTCTACAAAAATAAGAATCTAGATCTATAGGCCTATCTAAGTATCTATCAACTTTGAACTTATTGATCATTTTACAGCTAAACAATTAGCCCCACATAGAAGGAAAATATTTTAAAATAAGGTAGGTATACTAGACCACCAGTTAAGTAAAAAGCTTTTAATTTTCTTATCCCTACTTATATACTTAAGCTTTACATGTTAGATATAGCAAAAAATACTTTTTATGAACCCCATAAACTAGACCTGATAACTATTTTATTACAAACAATAATAGTTAAATCATACTCTTCTTCTTCATCATTTTTGAAAAGATTCAGCCTGAACTCATTTTTTGTTACTTTGGCACCAATTAGCTGTGATAAAAGATCTAGATGGGCTCTGGCTAATGGGTCAGGGCTGCAATTTTCCTAAGACAGTAAACAAAAATTATATTAAAAAAAAAGTTTTATATTTTAAAATAACACTAAATTAGTTTTGTTAAAAAATGTTAAATTTTACAATGGCAACTTAAGTAATGTTACAACTTAGAAAAAGAAAAAAATAGAAAAAAAAATAAAACAACTCAAGAGTTAGCATTAGATTAGCCTACACAAAAATAACAGTTTCTATTGCTGAACCTCAATTTAACTTATATTTAAGTGGAGAGAAGAAAATATAATTGTTACCAAGTCCCCACTATTTATAACTGAGGCAGTGCCTGATCCACTTGTTTCAACTGATCTTGAAACAGAATATCTGTTGGTCAAAGAAATAATAAGATTAGCAGGAAACATTCAACTTTTAAATGAAAGTAATTACTAAAAGTATTTGAGTAGTGGGAAGTCAATTTGAGTATTTTACCATAAAAGTATTTTTTTAATAGTGAGAAGTGACACAGGCAAAAAGTAATCAACTTACATATTTAATCCAAGATTGGTAGATCTATCTCCTTTAAATTCAATTGATCCTTCTTTTGACATTAGAGAATATACTGCTTCACACTTGAATCCCATGTTACGATATTTACCAGACTCATCAAATGATCTGAAAAATTGGTGTTTGTAAATTTTGTAAGCTAAAATCACTATTAATACAATGCTGCAAAACCTACTAGTAAATTTTAAAAATTTAAAAATCTTTATACTTTATAATAATAAGCTTTAAAATGCACTGGTCACTCATGAGTTTTAGTGATCAATGATTTTATTAAAGAAAGCAAATTTGTTTAGTTTTTGTATTTTCAGTGCATCTCATCATCATCATCATCACTGCCTGTCACCCCTGCTGGGGTATGGGCTGCCAAACAAAGATCTCCAGAGTCCTCTGTCCTGGGCCATTTTTTCAACCTGACTCCAGGTATAACCCATCTTTGTAGTTTCAGCCTCCATGTCCCATCTCCAGGTGTATTTTGGTCAACCTCTTTTGTGCTTTCTTTGAGGGTCTGTGTAGTGTATGTCCTATCATGAGGGTCTGTGTAGTGTATGTCCTATCATGAGGGTCTGTGTATGTCCTATCATGAGGGTCTGTGTAGTGTATGTCCTATCATGAGGGTCTGTGTAGTGTATGTCCTATCATGAGGGTCTGTGTATGTCCTATCATGAGGGTCTGTGTATGTCCTATCCAACTCTATCTTCTTTTCTGAGTTTCTTCTTTAGCTGCAAGTTGCCCTGTTGTTTCCCACAGGTAAACATTGATGATGGTATCAGGCCAGCAGATCCTGAGTATTTGTTTATAAATGTCTGGAATTTAGCAATGGTAATCTTTGTCATCCTCAAAGTCTTTACACCAATCAGCACTGATTCTATTTTTTACTTTTTCCTATCTTTAGGTTCACTAATTGTATCAGTTAGGATCTATTCTTTCGTTGGTATTTTTTTGGCCCTCCTATCTCTTGGTATGGGACCATAGTGCTTCCTTTTTTGCCACATGTTGGTCTATGCATTTAAAAGCATATTATTTTAAAGGTTTTTTATATTTATTTAATTTCCTTTTTTTAGTAATTTGTTTGTAAAGAAGTTGACAGCAAACAAGACTAAAAATGGTTGCTTTAAGACCAAACCAATCACTTGCCAGCTGTAAAAGACAATAAACTGCCCCTTCTTAATCTGTTGTATGAGGCAAGAAAGCAACCAACCATTACCAAACAGATTACAATAGATGGTTAGCTGATAGACCAGTAATTTGCTTGCATTTAATCTTGTAATCTCCCCTTTCATAATTGAATTTAAAAAGAAATGTGTTTACAATAATAATCCAAAGTTAAATTTGAACTGGGTAGGCTGCTAAAATTTCCTAAACAAAACATTTAGGGCCTAGAGAATTTTTTAAAGATTTTAGAGAAATTAATAAAAAATTAAAAAACTAAACCTAGTAACTAAATTATGACATAACTATTTTAAAACTTACTTAATATTACCAGGAGGCTCTGTACCAAATGGTAAAACACCCCCAGGTTTAAGAATAAATCGACCATTATTGTTCTGTACCTTGTCTTTCAAAAATATTGAGACCTGAAACAGTTACCAATTCTATCAAATATGATAATTCAGTAGTATTCAAAGTCATATAATTTTAAAAAATGTACCTATGACCATATCTATCCATTAATGATATCACACCATTTTGCCCCTCTTACTATGAGGATCGTTAATAATCTAAAGATGCTTGAAATACCTAAACTGGTAAATTTCAGATCAACTATTTATTTTGAATCAGCTTATGCAATTTAGTATTAAACAAATATTTAAAACACAAAACAATACAGTAAAAATTGTAAATGATGATAAGAATAATTTCAGGACTCACACGAGTATGAACATCTTGAAAGAAATTTAACAGTGTCTGTCGGATAAGTTGGAACTCTCCATGTGATAAGGAAGCATATTGCTAAAAAAAAAAAACGATATTATTAAGAGCACAACTCCAGAATGTTTGGTAAAATCAACTTATTTACTACTGAACTATCTTTTACCAGGCAGAATTCTAACAAAAAGACATACATCATAAATTATTGAAACAATAAAAATGTCTAAATACTATAAATATAAAAGTATGAGCTGACCCGCAATGTAGCATACCCCACTATTTAGTTGTTTTATTTCCTATTTTTCAGTAATTCATAATTTGTGAATTTGACACTACCAATGCTGCGACTGAAAATGTTTTGCTTTAAAACACTATCAGTAGCTAGTGAAGGACGATTATCTTCACCCTCACTTTCCACTCCTCCCCCCCCCTCCCACCCCTGTGAAAGCAGCCATCTGTGACGAAAGTTTACAGACGACAATGGAAAAGATCAAGCAGAATTTATTACCTCCCCTTAGTTTCAAATAGTTTAAAAACTAAATGATCTGCCCCTAATAGCAGTCAGCTCTACGACTGTAAACAGCTCACCAGACTAGTGGGGGTGGGGGTGGTAGCGATATGGTCTGTTGAGCTTACATGGTGGTGGTGTCCCGCATGGTCCGTCCATGAAGAGAATTATATATATATATAGATACATCTTTGTGGGTTTTTTAAGGTGTAATCACATCTTCATTTAATTCAAACCATATAAAATAATTTTAATATAGAAGACTTTTGATGGATATTAACTTATTAAAAAAAAAAAAGTGAATAGGCCAACTTACCTCTATGATAGTTTTATAGCCATACTCCACAAGAGAATATACAGTGCTATTGTCTTGAACATACGATCTTATTGAGTCCATATGGTTAAGGGTGACAAGAAGTATGTCTTTCGGACGCAATGCTAATGAGACTTGATATTTGAAAGCCATTGTCATAAGATCATATAACTGGAAAAAATTTAATTTAGATCATGCAGTTTGAAAATCTTTCAACTAATGAACGCTGTTATATTGTTATTCTCTTGACAAAGATATGTTTTAAACATTCTACTTTAAGATATATATATATATATATATATATATATATATATATATATATATATATATATATATATAATCAAACTATACATAGACTCACTTTGTCCATGCTTGCAGCATTTAATCTCATGATGGATGCATGAGCTATCCGATCAAATACTGAGCGCATTGCTTTTTTGGAATACAGAGTTTGTGGTTTAAAAAGCTCATCAAGAAATTTTTTGTTGAACATAGTCTGAACAATGTCACACAGCACTGAAATAAAAGTTTGATTTCTTGCACTAAAGATCTTAATGATAGTCTAAGAGTAGTTATTTTTCATTTTTCATCAGTTTACACAACCTGAAAGTGAAATACTTTATTCCAAAAAAAAAAAAAAAATGATCACTTACTCAAAAGGACAGAAAATCATCTACTGGAAAAAATGATTAGTGAATATAAGCTTATCTTGATTTTAAAAAATCATCAAATTTTTAAGGAATACCACTTTATCAGTATTCTACTGTCTAGAACATTAATATAATTGAAATTATGAAATATTATAAAATGACAATTGAGAAACGACTAGAATTTTTAGAATAATTCAAGGGGCAGTGGCTCAAATAAATTCCAATAAATCATTACTTTTAAAAGAATTTCATGGTTTTATATTCAATTTGTAGCATTCAAACTGTAATAATTTTGTAAAGCATCAAGGATATACATACACATTTTTAAACTGTCCCTAGGAGCAGACAGTGGTGGAAGATAATATTTTAACAATGCAAAATAATAGTAAAAATCACTCTGACTAACCGTAAAATTGTTTCATTTTATTGCAGTACATGCTTCTATAGTACCAGTAACTTTTATCTGATTAATAATTGTTGTGAGGAGATACATTTATTTTTGTAGTATTAGGATCATGACATTCCACATGTTTGATTAATGACTTCAACAAGTAGGAGTGACCATGCTTACAGTCCTCATCAGAACTTGGGATGTATTACTGATGGGGAAAACTGAGACTCCTACCAAATAATTGGAACACTTGATCTTTGACAGAAATCTCTCTGGACAAGCTGATATGCACCATAAATGGAAGAAGAAATGTACGCTTGCTCAATGAGTACGTACGTTCCATGAGTGCTGATACTGACAGCACCACTGGTATTGATGGTGTTTGTAGTTCACTATTTTTAGCAGAGCAATCATATTTATTTTTTAAATCATCTTGCCTATGACATTCAATATTTTGAAATTAAGATAACTGTTCTGGTGGTCGAACTAGTTATGCATCAGGCATCATGTTTTCATGGTGTGGGTTCTATAGTATTTATTCCTTTTGGCTCAGAGTTTATATTTTTATTTTTTTTTACTTAGTAAAAACTGTTTGTTTAACCTTTAGGGTTAGAAATTACTAGATCTAGATTCTATAGTAGTTTACTAGTTTAGGGTTAGGCATTAATTATAATAAAATTATAATATTCATAATTAATTAATAAAGATAGGAATTAGTGATTAGTTGCTTGGCTTATCATTGCCGGTTACTTTTCACTATGAGACTGACTAGATTCTAGATCTAGTCTAGTTCTACAATTCAAGACTAGATATAATTTCAATAATAAATAAATAACAGAACATTCTGAACAACGTTCCGTTCAACGTACCTTTCTTAGATTTTTCAGAGGGAATTAACTGAGCGTGTAATCTCTGGTCCAAGATATAAATCATTTCACCACCGAGATTAATAAAAAGAAGTGGAAGTGTTTTGACAGACATTTTCCGTAAAATTGATTACGCTGCCAAAAAGAAAAAAATCGACAATCAGAAAGTCTACAGTATAGATCTACACAGCTAAAGCAGTAGCCTAGGATCTATTTTTATTTTTTTCGATGGACTCCAATGACGCTTAATACAAACTATCTTCCGGTGGCAAGGAGGTTCTACAAAAATATTTCGCACTATTACAAATCTGCTTGCACATTTTTGTAAATGATTAAATTCAAGGTAAGATAGGCCCTAACATTTTTAAAAAGATAATAGCTAAATTTAAAAGCCTAAGCAAATGAAAACAAGCTTATTAATGAAAAATAATTTCTGATAAGGGGCTGTCTTTAAATAAAGAAATGCTTTTTTTGGGACAATTTTACCCCTCCCCCCACCCACATCAGAACCCACCCTCTCTGATAATCTGAGTGTTTTGTCATCTCATTACAGATGACCTCTTATTCATATTTATTCAATACAGAAGTGTAGCGCGGGGGGTGCGGACAGCACCGAGTGACACCATTTAGGGGGGTGACACCAAGGCAAAAAATAGTAAAATATATAGAGAAAAATTTGAGGGGGGGGGTGCAAATCGCAAATTGAAAGTTTGTCCCCGGGAAGAGTCGCTAAGCCTCTGGGGGGGGGGGGGGGGGTGACACCATTAAGTGCCACATCGGGTGACACCCGACCTCGCTACGCCACTGATTCAATATACTCATTTGCTAAGCTTTGTGTTACTGATTGTGTCAAAACTAAAAACACATGAAACTTTACTATTACAAAATGCATTAATTGTAATTTTGTTGCAGCCAGACTAGAATAAACACACACTGTTTCCTTTGAAAATCTCTTAATACCACAGTAGCACTCGTAAAGCAGCTCTGAATGGAAATGTAAAATCCTATCTGCAATAAAATCATGCTAATGCACCCTGTAGTCATAAGGCACTTATCTTTGTCCTTGACACTAACACCAGAACTTGAGAATCATCTTCAAGCCTTGGAAGTTAAATGCTAAAGAAAGCTACTAGGAATTTCATATGTGACTTGGTGATAGAGCTGCAGAGACAAAAAAAAAGTGTAAGCTTAAAAGTTACAAGCATGCTAGCAGGACTAGCAAAGTTTTCCAACACATAGTGCCAGACAAAAGAAACAGTGGGAAGTGAAAATGCACAGCTTTGACACATTGAAGATAGCACTGACATAAGAGTGGAGGAGAGTGATCAAAAGGACACTAATGAGACAGATGAGACTGATATTGCTGACACTAAAATGGTGTACAGTAGTACTACAAAGAAAATAAATTAGCTTAATTTAAGGTACTAGAAATAATTGCAGTTAGCTATTAATTATCTTTACTTTAAAATGAGTAAATACTAATATTTTAAATCTATTCTGATGAAAATGAGGCAGCGTGGCCTAGCAGTAGAAAGCTAGACTGCTAACCTGAGAGTCTCAAGTTCGAATCCAGGTTCAAGTCAGTAGAATATCCCTGAGTCCACCCAGCTTTGATATATACCTAATTCACTTGTACAGAAAGTAAAGGTGGCTGACCACACTATCCCTTCATATGCAGCGGTTACATAAACTGGTGGACTCTACTTCACTTACCCCATAGACTGGCAGGTTTGGAAGGGGAACTTAACTCATGTTAGGGAAACAAAGGTGGCTGGGTATAGTGCTGACCACGCTATTCCTTCATATGCCGAGGCTTTTGAAGCAGATGAACTCTACTTCATCTGTCCCATGTGTCTTGGGCACAAATGTGATATGATGATGATTCTAATAAAAGCCAATAGTTGAAATCACAGCTATTTGAGATCAATGAATAACCACAATAAATTCCTATTTACGTGCATTTTTTTAAATTAATAAAGTGAGAAATATTGTATACTCTGTGTACATATATTAGTCAGTGAGAAATGCAGGCACTATAAATTATAGTGACGAACACTCTTCTAACATGTGTGAAATATCAATATTAAAGAGAAGTTTGATAACAATATGTTTGAAAATGTAATTTTCCAGCCCATTCTATAGTGTACCAGAGTACTACACTTTTCTGGTAACATATTCAAAGCAAAGAAAAAAAAAGAAAAACAAAGCATATTCATTTTTATGCAATTCTGTTTATTCAGTGAGATTCTACAACAAAGATTGACATCAGTAAAAAAAATATGTACAAAAACAAAAATAACTGAATATCAGAGCAACTTTGTAACTATTTGTGCTTGTTTAAAAAAAAATAAACCGGGAGTGATCTCCCCTAAACTTTCTCGAATATTTTTATATAAAATTACAGGGGATGGGAACTCGGGCTATAGACATGATTTTTAATCCATTTTAAATACTTAAAGTTTTAAAAATAGAATAAAATCTCGTAGACAAATTAATTGCACACCAAGTGAACGCGAAATAAAAAAGCGCATAATAGTGCGCAATATTATTAGTACTTTTAAAATTTACATTAGTTTTTTGAGAAATCGGAAGTAGCGTAAATTACTACTTCCTGTCAACGGAAATTACTCAAAATTTAACAGAAGGTAGAGAATTAGATCTTTTACTTACATGTGAAATTTCATTTATCTATCTGAAATAGTACTCAAGTTATAGGCTTTTGAAAAATTCAAAGTAGAAAAAGTACCACTTCCGGTTGTCGGAAATCGCTCAAAAGTTGATACGGATCTACGATTTTGATAAAATACTTATATATGAAATTTCATCAACCTAGCTGTAACGGTACTCAAGTTATCGTGTTTACACACGGACAGACAGACAGACAGACAGACACACACACACACAGACATACGGACAAGATTGCAAAATTATGTTTTTCCGTATCAGTGAGGTGTAAACCGTCGAGATTTGTAAAAATCTCGATTTTTTTTTTTTGCACGATTACAATACTTTCTCTATACTACGTATATACGAGAAAGTAAAAATCATGTGGCATTTTCCAAAAATTAAATCAGGAAAAAAGTCAACTTAAATTATTGTTTAGTTCCTAATATATTATTTCCATTAGTTTTAATTCTCATAAACAAAAAAAAAAACTCATGTTGGAACTTGATAAAATGGCTATACAACAAATGGTACCAGCTTGTAATTTACAGATGCAATGATGATTGACATGGTTGTAAAAAAATATAAAACCAACTAAAAATCGAAGGAAAAACACAAGAGTGAGAACAAATATTTGTTTCTAAAAAAGAAATTGGAATATCCACAAAACAAGGAGGCACTGAAGAGAGAAATGTATGCATGAAGAGATTTATCACAGATGAAATGTTTAATGTCATCAAAGTGTTGGATTAAAATCTTGTGTGCATTGCCATTTTTTTTTTTAGAACGTGATTGATTAAAAAAATAAGATGTAGGGGAAACCATCATAAAAATTATTTATATTGAAACAAAATATAGATATCTTATACAACATTTTCAGCTGCAGTAATATTTACTTAAATAGCAGCTTAAACATACTATGCCTGGGGAATAAAGAAAAGTATACAAGTATTAACATGTTTATTAGTTTTTTAAAAATTTCTCTAAAGACCTATAAAGATATTAATTCATAATAATAGCTAGTTGTTTTAAAATATCCTAATTATTTAGTTATTGATTTAAAAAGTTTTATGGTTAAAGTTAAAGGACAAAAATTATAAAACTATATATATTTTTGTTGGTTTATAACGAAAACAAAAAATATTACTAATTTAGATTTTGATACCAGTGGTTTCCAAACAGTTTTTCACTATGCCCACTTTTGACAACTGAGGGGCGGAGTGGTCTAGCGGCAGAGAGCAGGATTGCTAAACCGTAAGTCTCGAGTTCGAATTCAAGTCAGTAGACTGTCCCTGAGACCACCCAACTCTGATGGGTACCTAACTCACATTAGGGAGAGTAAAGGCGGCTGGGCATAGTGCTGACCACACTTTCTCTTCATATGCCGAGGTCACAGAAACAAGTGAACTCTACTTTACTTGTCCTATAGACTGTCAGGTTTGAAAGGGAACTTTACTTTTTTACCCTTGACAACTGGAAAATGTTGGCACCTTACAAACACTCTCATATACATGTATATAAAAAGATATGTATATATGTACGTATACATGTGTATATATATATATGTATGCATATATATATATATATATATTTATGTAATATATACACACATATATACATACATATATAATTATATATGTATATATATATATATGTATATATATGTATATATATAAATATATATATATATAAAGTATATATATATACATGTATATATCTATATTATATATTTATATACATATATATACATTTATGTATATATATATATATGTGTATATCACCATCATTGCCCAAGACACAAGGGGCAGATGAAACTAGTTATCTGTTTCAATGACCTATGCATATGAAGGGATAGCGTGGGCAACTATGCACAGTTGCATTTGTTTTCCCCATCATAAAAATAATATATATATATATATATATATATATATATATATATATATATATATATATATATATATATATATATCTGTGTGTGTGTATATACACACACATATATAAATGTGCATGCAAATTTGCAAAAATGTATAAATTATAAGTGTAATTGAAAAGAGTCATATTTGTTGTTTCTACAAATAACTAATGAAGTATCTGGTTATGGGAATTTACTTGCAACTAAAGCAGAAATACAACTCCAAAAAATAGTTTCATTTTTGAGTTCAAACTGTTTATCAAATTGCACAATGTAGTCAAGACACTTTAAATCTGCCTGCTTTATTTTTTTAACGACAGAAGTTTATAAATAATTTTGGTTGAAACCATTGTACACTTTTGAAAAAGGAGCTGAGAAATATCTAAAAATGGGTTATTCAATACTTTTATTATTACATACTGTTAATTCTGCTAACCTGTTTGTGCTAATAGCCTCCCAGTTTGGAAATTGTTGGGTCAAACCATTCTTATCAATAAAACATTATAAAGAAATGTTAGTTGTCTGTGTGTAAGATATAAATTTTGGCATTTCAGAGAGAATACACAATGGAATGATACATTCACAACAAATTAGCTTACAGATGTTTACTGACATCAATATTTATACATTTTCATGTATGATAGGATAACAATGGAAAAAAAACAAGATATTATGAATCTAAAAGCTTACAGTTAACTTAAAAAACATTTATATTTCTCATAAGCAAATAAAATAATCTTGGCTATTTACAAAATATGGTATAACTTGTAATTATTGATAGTTTGTAAAATGTCCAGACATCAAGTATTCCACCCAAATAATTACATTTAAAAGTTTATAAATTAATAGTTATCATACGAAATTATGTTTTCTTTACAAAGTTTGTCATGCCTGAACATTTTATGTATTAAGAAGTTAGTTCAGTTTAATGGAATGGTAGCTTTTAAACTAATGGATTGCACTAGGTAATATTAAGAATTTTAATTAAACACTAAATAAATTTAAGTGTGTCTAGCATAAATATTTATTGGAACAATCGATCAACAATTTAGTTATGTTTGACTAGACTGTGTTAGTGAGAGTATTTGGACATTAGTATCATTACAACTGAAACTTCTGAAAGTTTGAAATTTCAAGGTTTTTATTCTTGTCACTACAGCACCTTTGAACTTTACTACATGAAGTTAAAAAGTGGAAAAATATGAGAATTACTGTCGGGCTTATTCTTAGTTATATCTATATCATTACAAAGTAGGCTTACAATGGTAACAATAAACAATGTGTTTAAAAATACCCGAAAACACATTTTATAAATACTTTGGATTGCTTAATGCTAACAAAAGAATTTACTTTGTTAATGGTGCAGCGTTTTAGGTATAGTAAAAATAGAAGCATAACAAACTATCTTTTATACACTTGATTATTTAAAAATCAAAGTTATTAAATGTTCAACGAATTAAACAAATTTAAAGTTAAAAAAAAAACACCTGTAAATGTAGTTTAAATACATGTTTAAAAAAAACACAAACCAGTTAAGTTTAACTAAGACACAAAGATGATGGGATGAAAAACTATTTAAAATAAGAACAATGAATCAACATTAAAACCATAGCTAAAGCAGGTAAGTTTAATTTTTGCATAATATAATACAGCATAGCTTCTCAGAATATAATCACTTAAATTATGAAACATTGCGTAAGTAAGTTAATGTATTCTGTAAATATGTAATTATTTAGATTAAAATAATAGTCATTTTAGTGACAGTTAATTAAAAAATAAACTATGTCAGCTATTATCATAAATTATTTAGTTTTAAATATAATTTGTTAAAAAATTTCTTATGTGGTTTCTTGAATTTGTTCTCTTAATTCACATTTTTATAAACATGTGTATGAATTCAAGTAATACATTTTTAAATTAATGAGTAATATCCCAAGAACTTTTAATAAATTAAAAAAAAAATCTCTACCATTTTAAACATTTTATTTGAAACAGTGGATGGATCATAAAATAAATCTTTGGGAAAAAACCTAAACACTTTAAACACATATACCAATAATTTGCTTTAGAAACCTTCAGATATGCATAAGGGGTTTAATATTATTTCAATATGAACTAATTTCCTGAGAAAATGAAATTAGATGTAAAATAATCAGTGGTAAAATAGGCAACATTTTAACTGTCAGTAATGAGTCCATAATAGTTATAAAGATGTTAAGAATTTTTAATTGATTATAAATGCTGAAATATTGCTTTGAAACATAAACAGTGATGTATGAGAAAAGGGGTCTGTTATATTAATAAACTTATAGCTAGCAGAAATATTGCTTTTCAGCAAATGTTTGTTTTTTGGCAAATTGATGGTAAAATTGTAAAAAAAGGAGGTTTAAGAATTGAAAAATGCCAGATCGATCATCTGTATAGTATAAATACTGCTAGGCATTAGCATATTTTTAATTAAATTGGTATGTGAAGATAGAGGCTTAAAGAAATAAACACAGATATTTAGTTTTAGAAATAAATAATTCATATGCTCACAGCCACTTACTACTCTAATGCATATGAGTTGTGCTAATGTTACTACAAATATAACATGCCAACACTATAAACATGACATATTAATGTTTGCTTGACTGAACTACTGATAGGGACATTTATGCATGATTAAGTTTCTAAGGAAACATTTCCATAACAGTATTAATGCACACAAAGATTTAAGTTACAATGTTTAAGCATGAGTTGCTAGGTTCAACTAGTACCACCGTCCGGCCTTTTGGTCTGCTTTATCATTTGCCTGATCTTACCAGGCTCATAACCTTCTGGATCTTCACAAAGATGCACAACAATTGCAGGTGCAGCTACTGTTGGAGGATGGACTTCATGGGTATTACCTAAGAAATCAAGTTGAATGTTTATATATTTTTGTACAGGCTACAATAAACATGCGTGTTGTGTTATCTTCTTTGTTCTTAATTATTAGTGTTAGGTCTCCCTCCAACACAATTAAGTATATGTGTCAACTCATTATGCACCATTTAGGCAGCTGACTCCGATTTCAGCCTGCTTTTCTTTTTGGATTTGCTTCCATAGCAAGAACAAACTACAAGACAGCAGTTGTTTGATTTTGGAGTTGTCTCTCCTAGAAGTGTTGCTGTCACCAGCTATCAAGCCTCATCTGCCCAAGGGTTCGAACTTGGGACTTATCGATCTAGCAACCATGAGCTTTACTGACTCGACTACGCCAAGTTATAAAAAACAAGTAATTAAAAAAAGTCTAGTGACAATTTTAGCGCAATTTCCTTGTGTTATCTAAAAATAGCTCTGTCGTAGCGTAAATCAAGAGCAGGGTTAGTAAAACCATTGGTTAGTTATTAAAACGTTTTTTATTAATTTTTTTTCAGTATTTTACATGTTTTATTTACAATAGAGTAACATGACTAAAAACCATTGCGCGCCCAGCTACCGAACGTGACGTCGCAGCCATTGAACGTGATGGCGCAGCTATTGAACGTGATGACGCGTGTGGTGTGGTTGCATAAAATGCCTACTAATTCGGTCCAAATTTTAATTAATTCAAAAAATTTTTTGTGACCAAACGAAAGGATATTTTTGAAAACTTTCTTCGGCAATATTGTTCTAAATTATGGCAGGAATCGATTGGTACATGTTTCAAGTCGCTAAGTGGGTTGCTGAGATATAGGCCAAAAACTGAATTTTTTCGAGTTTTTTTGGCTTTTCCGGGAAATCCATGAAAGAAACCCGGAATTTTTATGGCCTATGTTCATCCTCGTAACTTGCTTAACATAATTGTTTTTGTAACTAGTCATCGATATTGCTTCGTTGAGGAGGAGATACGACTTAAAGCTGCGGACACACATCCATACATTCATCCATCCATCCAGAAATGACGGGTTAATAAACGCAATTCTCCAGAATGGAAATTGCGCTAAAAATGACTATTTACAAAATGTATAGACGATGCATATTAGGATGGTCCGTATTTTTTTTTAAATTTTCATTTTTCAATGGGGCACTTTCATTCGGATTCCATTTTGTGAAGAAAAGAAATTCAGTTAAAATATTTAGGTCAGATTATATTTGGGGGCTGCTACCTCAGAAGAGTCAGACTCCATATTAAAAACAGTGAGTTCAAGAAAGTTAAGAAATCACAGACCGAAATTAGGAAATATCACATCACAGAGCTTTAATTATTAAAAACATTACATTTATCTAAACCCCTATTTTATTGTGTTTTTAAAATTGCGTCCCTGACCCATGTAGCTAAGATAGCCGTTGGGGAACTCAGCCAAATAGGCTATGGATACGATGGGTTACTATAGTTCACTAAATCGAATCCGGTGCGTCCTCTGGCAGGGTGCTATTTGGCACCACATTTGTTTTAAAGATCACCCCATAATTTCGACACAGTGGCATACGACATTCAAATGTTTAATCTGAGCTAGAGGCCTACATGGTTCCCCTCCAGTAGTTTAACCTGGTCTCAAGACAGTGCCCCGCTCGCTACTTCCCTGATACCTGTGTGTACTACCTCACTACAACGGAGTGATTAACGTAAACTCAAGTAGGTAATGTGGTAATTCAGTTGCCCTGACAAATATGATCCAAGAAATATAGCGCAGGCATTGTTTACATTAATGTGACTGAAATTTAGACGGCAAGGTCAAATGTCTAAGAATAAAGAATTGGTAATAAATTGATGAAACCCTCTTAAAATATTGTGTCAGATTTTCTTCTGAGACAGCGGCAACGTGGGATGGGCAAGATAGTATACATGAATATATGTTTTTTAACTTATTTATGCTTGCATTGCAAACACAAAATTCAGTTACAAGAGAAACTGATGCAATGGCAAAGTGATGATCTACTGTCATTGTCCTCATGTAAATACACTCTCCTGTCTTAGCAATAACTACTTTTTTTAGTTTGTCTTTTTAAGCATTAAAGTTAACACTTTTTTTTCAATTGGGATGCAATAAGTGATACCAAAACAGAGTAATATTTAAAAAAGCAGCGCTAGTCTTATATTTAATGTTTGAATAGCATACCAGGATTGAGCTTAGCAATAGCATGAAGAAGATCATAGTTAATGACAGGTTCAGCCTCTGGAACTGGTTCCCATCCCACTGGTGGTGATGCAGGTGGAGAGATTAAAAACATCCTCTGTGGTGCAGGTGGTTGTAAGTGAGTGTTATCTGTATTTTGCGGTCTGATATGCTGGCATTTTAAAAAAAAAAAAAGTGATAAAAAATTTGAAGAATAAAATTTCCACAAAGGAAAAAAATTATTTGTTCAAATTATGCAAATAATTTGCGTATTTAATGCTAGAGTGGAGCCTAACTCTATGTATACCTATTTATTTTACACTATAGTATACTGTGTCTAATACAAAATACCAATTTATAAAAAAATATGTTTATCATTATGTTTTTCTAACTAAAAACATATACTGTAAAACTAAAAATAAAAGTAAAAAATAAAATAAATATCTAAAACAACCATTCATAATTAATATAAGATGAAAAATTATTTAAAAAATTAAAAACTTGCGTTTAGAAACAAAAGTACCTGAATAAAATAACACCGAATACTCTGCCCACAAATAGTTACACCATCATAGCGAATTCTAGCAATAGATGAGGATTCAGATGACGAGAACTGAACACGAGCTCTTCTGAAGTTTTTAAGATAAATAAAGCTAACATCTTTATCAAGTTCTCTGAACACATTTTCAAATGTTGACTGTGGATAATAAAACAACATTAGAACATAATAAAACACTCAATAACTAATAAAACTTTGAAACTACTAGTTTTGAATTTAAATAAACTGGCAAGAAAGTTCTATAATTAAGTGTAGGTCTACCTGTGCTACTGTGTCCTCAAAAACACTGATATCAATGTTAGTTATTATAAGCGCTGATGGCACATCTTCAACATCTACCATTTCAGTCAAATTTTCCAGTTCATCACATAATAAATCCATATCTATGTCATCCATTGACTCAATGGAGTCACTATGATTAGACATAATGAGCTGTTGAAGTCTTCTATAACAATGATGATAAGATACTTTATATGATAATATTGGTGGAAATCACATCAGATGTGTCCATTTTTTGGGTTAGCTTTGGTGAAGTTGACACTTTTTATGTAGGAGATACATTTAAGAAATGGTTTGTGTAGAGGTATTTTCCCATTTGCACAGAGCTAAATTCAAACATAAAAATAAATTAATAATTGTGAAAAATCAAGACATCAGGTAAAAGCTTCAAGATAAACACTCAATTAAATATAGGTTTACTTAGACATAATAAAGGCCAAAAATAATTTGCGTATTTAATGCTAGAGTGGAGCCTAACTCTATGTATACCTATTTATGTTACACTATAGTATACCGTGTCTAATACAAAATACAAATATTATAATAGTAATGAAAAATAGTATCCAATAGTAAGTGAAAGTTACTACTAAACCAACTTGACTCTACTATGACCCCCCCATCCTCCTTTTAAGTTGTTCCGTAAGGACATCATAAATGCAAATTATCAAAGGGACTGAGCAGTAGTGGGGTAGTAATATGTGACCTGACTGACTGAAAGGAGATTGTTATTATTGTTCTGAGTTTATTTTTAACTCAATGAAACAAGCCTGCCTGTTGGCTGAGGCCAGGCTGTGGGGACGTTCTGAACGGGATTCACAGGGACAACTTGAAATATTGTCCAAAATTTAAAATAATAGGGGAGATTATATGCCTTAATTTATAAATTATTATAGGGTTATATCAATTTATTAACATAATTTATAATAGTCGGCTATAATTAAATAAGCCTAGGCCTACTTATTTTACCCTAATAACTAGCCAATAGTGAGGCAATAGCCTAATAAGTTAATACAAGTAGAAAATCTGGCCGTATTTGCCCTAGCGGCAATAATAATAAATGGTAATCTATGGCTTAAGGTACGTAAAATTAACCGAGGCTAGTAATGTGAAAAATGAAAAGACGGTGCGTCATTAAATTTTAGTAATTGTTTCACATTTTTAGGAAGATTTGTTTTGAAAGTTACAAAAACGTTTAAAAGTTTAATTCATGTACCTGTTTTTAAACAATTGTATTAAAACTTTTCAGTAGGCCTAATAATTATTAATAATTAAAGACTAGCCATATTTTGATATTTTCATTAGATGCAACCAAGCTCGTTTACTTTAGCAACCATCTTGTTTTTTTTTTTTTTGTAAACTTATAGCGGGAGATTCATGGGAAGCCACTCTATTATAAAAATGGTTGCTGTTTATATAGCAAATCTTGCTCGCAAACACTGCTGTTTAAAGTTAATTTCTGGCCTATATTAAGATTAGCCTAGGCCTAGGCCCCTATATACTATAATTTACTATATTGTATATACTGTAACTATAGGCCTATTTTATATTATATATATTTTTAGCCATTGATTTTGGTTTATTATGCAATTATCTATCAGACTATAATCTATAATTATTAATAATTATAATATATGACACAAAGGTAAAATCTTAGTTTAGCGTCGTAAATTCCAACATGTAATGTGCGATGAAGGTAACTAATGAATATTTCTTTAATTTGGCCATATTTATGTCATATTTTACATAACATAACAGATAATTGAATAACAAATCACAATCCAAGACCAAACCAGTCATAAATATCCTGGAATAAACTTTAAACTACCCCGTTTGAGACAACAATGAGTAAATACAAGCAGCGGCTATGTTTTAAAAACAATAAATTGTCTATTCGCATGTCTTTTGTGTTGATTTTGTGGTTTAATATGATTGTTTTGTATTGTTTTAATATATGCCGGGGGGGGGGGGGGTCGTCCATAAATGACGTCACACTCGTAGGGGGGTCCGTAATTTTGTGACGTTGTGTGATGAGGGGGAGGGGTTCAGATGGTGCGACGTCACACTTTTGCATTTTAAAAAAGCAATGTTACAAAACGAATTTTAGACGTTATTTTGCGTTTTAAAAAAACTGTTTTAATACATTGTAATAACAATTGATTAAAATACTCTATTTTGACAGAGTTCAGACAAGATTTTGGAAAAATATAGCTGTTTAAAAACAATTCAACTGCAATTTTTAGGGGGGGGGGGGTTGTAGGCTGAGGTGTGACGTCATTTTGGGGGGGGGGGGGGTCTGGCTTTTTGTGACGACGTGTGACGGAGGGGAGGGGGGGGGGGGGAGGTAAAAAACGTCAAAAAAAGCGTGACATCATTTATGGATGACCCCCTGTATAGTAATTTTTCTTTTTTTTTTAAAATATAGTTGACATGAATGACTAATAGTCCGTATCAGACTTAATATTGTGTGCATCCAAGACCACAACAATTGTTAGGAGGTCGAACTTTTGAACACTTTATTTGCAGTAAGCAAATCAATATTAGATCGCTCATAAATGACGTCGCTCTTAAGATAGTAATGACAGCGTGCATTATTACAGAGCAAACATATGAACATATTGTTTCAGATAGAAATTGTGATTTGTGGTGGGGAGAGTTTGAGTATGTGATTTTGGAGACGGGTCAGGGTTTTTTTTCGTGAAAACTGGATGGTTGTGGGAGAAAGACCAGCTGTAGAAGTATGACGCGTCATTCATTGGTGATCCATTTTCTCAGTGGGGACGAAAGAACTATTAAGAAGGGTCAAGAAATGTAAAAAGCTTGCCGAGTCGCATTTCTTGAACCCTACCTTTTTCATTCCCCCACTTAGCACATCGTCACCGAGTTAACGCTCGCACGTGACGTCATGTAGCGGTACCGCCGACCGTTAGGCTAATTTTATAGAAAAAAAAACAACAAGCACTGCCTTTTTGACGCTTTTGCGACGTTTAGTTTGATTACATAAGTTGGTGTTCATTAAACAGCCCCTAACACATCTATCACCCGTCCATTTAAACATACGTAGTTATTTCTGCAAGCTTGCTGTCTTGAGACTTTCGACCCTTTAAAAATGTATTAAGCTCTCACCGTATAGAACTAGACTACCCATATTAAGCTCCAAAAGAAGCTTGGTGAAAATATATCACAATATACATTTTTAAAACCTTAACAATGTCAATGAGGCAACTTTGTCGCACATTACTAGCCTCGGCCAATTTTACGTTGTAGTCTGGCGCGTTGCTTAGATGGCTGGATTGACCTCTGACCCTGAAACGTCACGCGTCATTTTTAGACGGTTTTTACGTTTATTTTAGGGGTCCTATCCACGACAAATGAAAAACCTGTTAATCTCGCAATTTTTCATCATTATTTTAATGCAAAATGCTAATAAAATGGATAATATGCCTTAGAATGCCAGAAAAAATCGAGATATTTGTTGTTGTAAATAATGAGAGGATTTCTAGTGGAGCGCTCTCCGTAAAAACTGAACCGCCGCTAAAAACGACCGACCTCCGGGGAAAACGGCCCGACAGACTCTAAGTTATTATATAATTGAGATATTTACCTTGTATATTTACATTATTATTGATTCTGGTTTCCAAAATCTTATCCCAAAATGAGGTACCCACGCTGACATTTCTATCCGCTATTTTTAGTATCATGACGTCATTGCTACGCTAGTTGCCAGACTGAAACAACTAGTTTTTGTTTTTTACGGAATGAACTGTTAAGTCTAGTATTTTAATTATAATTCAATTGTAGCATGTGCGGAAAAAGTAAAATTATGGACATTATTATTGTATTAGTAATTTTATTAGTATATTGATTTTTTCTTCACTGTGGGCCGACAGTTGCTGCATTCGTGACCGGTGGTTAACCTCGTCAACGCCGCGTGGCCTATTCGCTTATATAATCAGTGATGCTCGTTCAGTGGCCTTTTTCAGAGCTAGGCCTAATTACGGGCGATTTTTAGACTTCATTGAGTCTTTTTCATTGCTGCATATTTTAAAAAATGCTCGTTCAGCTGCCTTTTTTTTTTTGCGCTAAATAATCTGTTTACGGGCATTTTAAGCGTTTATTTATTTATTTTTTTAAGCTAGACGTAGATCTAATTAAAAATTTTTTTTTTATACAGCTGGCTGTCTAGCATGTCTGATATGTGAACTTTAAAAAAAATGACCGAACTTTAAAAAAAAATTTACCAGAAGTAGGAAAGTAGGTCTGTTTTTTAATTTGCTTGAAGAAGGGGGGGGGGAGGGGGGAGAGAAGTGAAGACACCGACCATCTAGTGTACGCGTGTTCATTCTATGACGTGTACTGAACTCACGGTGAACCCGCGACCGTAGTGGGATTTTTCATCCACAGGATAGTAAACATAAGCAAGCAATCACGCGAGTGACGATGTTTGGAGATTTTTAAAAGAAAAAAAAATAACATACGTCATGTCTTCAAAATGAAAAAAAAAATGTAATGTAAGAAAAAAAAAAGACACTAATACCATGTATGAACCTCAGCTGCCACACTGTTGACTCAATATAATCATCCCCATAATGTGAATTGAGTGTAAAATATGTATTTGTATTTATAAACTATCTTAACTATTAACTATTACTATCATATTATTTTAAGCATATTTATTATTTAAAATTAGAATTTGAAATAAAAATATTTATTATGGCCATTTGATTTTTGCAGGTGTTCATTACTTCATAAAATGGTATGAATAACATGTAGAATAGAATTTAATAAATAATAAAATAACTACATCTAGTTTTAATTATCAACCAGTTGCTTTTTGTTATTTTCCGGTGAGTAAATAACCTAAGCTGACGCAATTACCATGGCGGGAATTAAAAGCTCGTGGACACAAGTCCACGACGTCATGTTATGCCGGTCGAGGAGTAAGAACGCGTTTTGTCGTTCATTTTCCATTCTCGGATAATTTTCAAATTCTCTCTTTTCTCGTCAACCGAGTAAGCTAGATATTTAAATGTGGTGTCAAATGTTCTCTTAAGGGGTAAGGAACTTAATGGTGTATTTGAAATAACATAATGTTTTATTTTAAAAAATCCATAATTCAACCTATTACGTTGAATTAGAATCTACCTAAAACTAAAACAATACAATAGAGTAGATTACCTGAAAATCCTAAAAATAATTTAAATATAGATCTAGTTATCGACTTATAGATTTCTAGTCCTACTCCTAGGACCTAGATCTAGTCCTAGTGTCCTAGTAGTACTCAAGTAAGTACTGTAGTTACACTGTAGTAGAATAGTAATTAGTAATCTACTCCTTCTAGAGAGGCTAAAACATGAAATTATTAATTTATTAAATCTAAACCAGAATATTTTTCAGTTGATGTCTGTGTATCTTCTGTTTACTGCTAGACTTCTAGATCTAGATCTTTATAAAGACAGTAGACAGATCAACTGAAGACTAGAATCTGGTGACTAGGGCCCTTTTTTACACAAAATATCTGTAAAGGGAAAGAATCGATGAATAAGGCCTAACATAAAACAATTTTATGTTACTTCCGGTAAAGCCGTTTCCGTTTACATCAGACTATATTTATATTTTCGGGTATACCCGTCAAGTAATAATAATTAATAAATAACTATGGAATACTGGCAGTGGCGTGCAGAGGGGGGGGGGGGGGCGGAGGGGGCCCAGGCCCCGGGCAGCCACATCAAGGGGGCATCCAAAGGGGGTAAAAAAAATAATTTTTTATTATTAATTTTTAATTTTTTTTTTTTTTTTTTTTTTTAGGAAAGCTAAATGTCTACTAAGGTTTGCCTACCTAGGCAGAATTATCAAATTATCACAATTTGCCGAATTCACCGAAATGTGTATATACAATCAACACATGGCACTGATATAGTCATCGTACTGTCCGTGTCGTACAACCTTCAGGGAGAAAGGGGCATCGGTGAAGGGTAGTGGTGTAGTAATCATTGATATTCCCCGAATAAATGTATGCAGTCTTTCAATTAATAGAGTATCTGATACTTGTGTAGGTAGGGGCATCTTTTAGAGAACACGCCCATAATCATTTTATACACTTGTGGTCATCCATAGAGTATTAAAGCCCATGATTATAATTTACACACTGTAGGGGCATCTTTTAGAGAACACGCCCATAATCATTTTATACACTTGTGGTCATCCATAGAGTATTAAAGCCCATGATTATAATTTACACACGGTAGGGGCATCTTTTAGAGAACACGCCCATAATCATTTTATACACTTGTGGTCATCCATAGAGTATTAAAGCCCATGATTATAATTTACACACTGTAGGGGCATCTTTTAGAGAACACGCCCATAATCATTTTATACACTTGTGGTCATCCATAGAGTATTAAAGCCCATGATTATAATTTACACACGGTAGGGGCATCTTTTAGAGAACACGCCCATAATCATTTGATACACTTGTGGTCATCCATAGAGTATTAAAGCACATGATTATAATTTACACACTGTAGGGGCATCTTTTAGAGAACACGCCCATAATCAATTTATACACTTGTGGTCATCCATTGAGTATTAAAGCCCATGATTATAATTTACACACTGTAGGGGCATCTTTTAGAGAACACGCCCATAATCATTTTATACTTTGTGGTCATCCATAGAGTATTAAAGCCCATGATTATAATTTACACACTGTAGGGGCATCTTTAATGTAATTTGCTTATATTCATCATAATACTTTTGAAGGGCATCCAAACAGTAATTATGCCCGCATTCATTTTATATATCGTCAGGGCAACTTTAAAGTAATTTACTTGTATTCACGTTTGTATTTATATAATTACAGCAATTATGCCCATATTCGTTTATATATTATCGGATATTTATTATGCTTATATTCATTATTGAATGTCTGAAGGGCATCCCTACAGTAATTATGCCCTTGTTCGCTTCATATTTTATCGGGCATCTTTATTATGTTTCTATTCATTGCATAATGTTTGTAGAGCATCCTTATTCATTTTGATGGACGTAACGGCATTCGTAGACTGATTAAGCGCACATCCTCTTGGTTTTTTCTTATTCTAATGATATTCTTTATTCATGGCCATTTGGATTTTTGTGTACGGTTAAATACAAACTTTCAAGTCCGTACTGTTTTGATACACTGGGCCGGGCCGAGTTAACTTCATTCTAAAGTTGTCCTTAAGTCTCACACTTCTTAATTACCGGCATTCGCGGCCGGCCGGTCGTACTGTCCAAGAACACATAAATAAGGTGTAGCTGGCTGTCACTTGTTCCCCCCCCCTCACTTTAGGCACAAACCTTCTATTGTAAGACCGGTAATGTAATACCTAGACGCTCTATTGGCACGGCCAGAGATCCAGTAATGTAGTACTCGAATCTGGAGACTTTTTTTTGGGATGTTCCATCCCATAGCCATATATTTAAATGCACAGTCTGCGTGATCTTTCACCTCCCCCCCCCCCCCAACTTTCACCCACCCCAAAGCCAAAGCATCTACTGTCACCCACCCCTAAACCCCACACTACTGAGCGTTCTTATTACATTTGAGAGACATTTCTCTTGGATTCTATAGCCGAAAACGGTGTTTTTCCCACAATTCGAACTAATTATATAAAGTGTCCAAATCTGTCAATGTTTTCCTATTTGTTTTAATTTTAACCACTAATGCTTGTTGATATTGTAATTTGTCTAAAATTGTGTGCTTACTAACACTGTCTCTTTATATAATATACCTAAACGCATGACTTTTATTCTAACCACTGGCTATTGAACGAACAATTTAAACCACTTTATTGCATTAGAGCGATTTTCGAATAATTTATTTTATTTTTGCTTGTGATTAAAAGGGCATTTGCAGATGAAGTAAGCCCATATTATTTTTAGATAACTTGTAGGGGCACCCAAGAGAATTTATTCGGTTTCGATGCATATGAATATACAAAACAATAAGAATGTCCGTATTGTTTCTGAGACACTGTAAGGACACCCTCAAGAATAAGCATCAACAGATTTTTAATATACATTGTAGTGATATCATTTCAAACAATTGTGCCCATTTTATTTTTTATCAATTGTAGGGCATACTAAAAGTTGTGTTAAAGTATTTTAATGCAAAGTAAAGTTATCTGTAAAGTAAATGGGCGCTTAAATAGAACTGATGTTATAAATAGTAGAGCCACCTGTAAAGTAAGTGAGTCCACGTTGATTTAATGAATTGTGGGAGTTATAACGACCCTGGTAGCCGTTACTGGATTAATTCCCACACAGGGTTTGCATATGAATACTTGGGGCCTAGAGCCGACCATTAAGTGCGGGCCCCAAGTTTAGCGATACTAAAATTCTATCAAACATCGACAATGCGCACAAGCAGAAATCGCTGTGCTCTATGACTAGAATCGATATTTTCTCAATGTATCGAGTTAAGACGAGACGCTTTATTCCTACGTATCCGACTACTTCGACGTACGAGACAAGACTAGCATTTTTTAGGTCCGTAACTAGTACAGGCATCCAAAAAAAATACACCTACATTGGTCAGAATACAATAGGGTATCCCAAATTTACATACCAGGTACAAGGGGTGGAGGCGGAGGGGGGGGGGAGGGCTCACTCAATCGCCGGCCACTAAACAATCACCCGGCGACCGTGTTTCTCTTCCCTGCACACGAGATGTGCCAATGTGTTTCTAAAAAATACAGCATTGTTAAGTTCGAGATGGGGAGGGGGGTAACTCACTAGGCCTAACATCAACCGTGGCCTCAGTCGTAGCAATAAACAATGGCGAACTTTGACCTTTTAGTTTTTTTTTCCAATTTAATTCAACGGTGACCGCAGCCCGACCCCGGTAGGGTAATGGAAACTGTAAACTCTTTTGTTGGGCTTGGCATATAGCCCCTCCCCCCCCCCCCAACATCCGGCATGTCCCCCAAACTGTTTTCTCCCTCCCCGAATGAGTCAGCCATTCTTTTGGATATATATGCATGGAGTCTTCTCAAGAGTTCAGCTAAGTCAATTTTTTAAAATGCTTTTCTATTCGTATTCTGATTAATAACATAATGTGTGTTATAATTTATCGTCAATTGTAGGGCTACTAACGCTTTAAACACCGTAATTTATATATATATATATATATATATATATATATATATATATATATATATATATATATATTTATACAATTTATGGGGGCATCTTCCTTTGGGTTTGCCCCGGGCAGCAACATAGCTCTGCACGCCACTGAATACTGGTTATTTTCGCCCGTCGAGAAAATATTACAACGGGCGCCCTTATGTTGATAATATTTCGAATTTTCTTTTCTAACCCCATTCAACCACATTTAACCAAAATTCTATAATATTTTTGAATTTTATATAGTTATTTGAAACGGGGAGGTGGGGAGGGGGAGGTGGGGTTACATTAGATTGATGAGCAGATAATATAGTTAAGACTACTAGACCTACACTAGACCTACTAGACTACTGCAGAGTTTCTTCCAGGCATCTCTTCGGGGGGGCGAAGCCCCCCCCCCCCCCGAAAATTTTTTACCGCTCCCCCGAACGAAATGAAATTTATATAATTTATATAGAAAATATATACTTTTAACAGTGTCCGCCCCCCCCCCGAAGAAAGTTTACCGCCCCCCCCGAAAACTTCAAAACTTCAAGTGCCCCCCCGGAGAAAAAAGTCTGGAAGAAACACTGGACTACTGTACAAGCTACATCTGGTATAACACGAATAATGTTACTGCTTAGCTACTTGTTCAACCTAAGTGATAATTTAAAACTGCCATAGAATACTTAGAATATACAAGATATGCAATTAAATGTTGTTACACAAATATTTTATACTTTTTATTTTTAATGTTTACGTATCATAGAACAAGACAGCTTCTGTATTCTTGTATAGTAAATTAAGTTTTTACATTAGTTTAATTTAAACTGTACTTAACATCTGTTACATTATATGAAAATGTTTTGTATATTTGTTTTAATTAGTTATTGTATAAAAGTCAAAATAAAAGTTACTACACTATTATTTACATATTCGTTTTCAATCAATACTTTATAGTATAGTTATAGTTTTCTTACATTTGAATGGATGGTATAATACAGATTTTAATATATGAGCAGTTTTTGTGAATGTATTGCTGCTTTACTACATTTTAATTAAAATTTCTTTCACATTTTGAATTTAACTTTGTAAATATTATGACTGATATGAGAATGGATATTTTTGTATGCTGAAAATCAAAATTTGAGCCAAGATGTAGCCAGGATATACTACAGACTGAGCCAAGGTATAGCCGAGATATAGCCATTATTGGGCCAAGATGTAGCCAGGATATAATACAGGATGAACCAAGGTATAGCCAATATTGGTCCAAGATATAGCCATTATTGAGCCAAGATGTAGCCAATATTGGGCCAAGATGTAAACATGGTATAGCCAATATTGAGCCAAGATACAGCCAATATTGAGCCAAGATGTAGCCAATGTTGGGCCAAGATGTAACTAAGATATAGCCAATGTTGGGCCAATATGTAGCCGGGATATAGCCAATACTGGGCCAAGATATAGCCAATATTTGGCCAAGATCTAGCAAATGTTGGGCCAATATGTAGCCGGGATATAGCCAACATTGCGCCAACATCATGCCGAGTTTCACTACCAATGTTTGGCCAAGGTTAAGCCAATGTTGCACCAAGATGTAGCCAATATTGGTAACCAATGTTTAGCCAATATTGTGTATCACTTTTATGACCTTAGAAACCAACTATGTAGCATATAATCAGTGGCGTAGTGAGGTCGACCAGAGGCGTAGCGACCCTTCCCGGGGACAAACTTTCATTTTTGGATTGCCCCCCCCCCTTCTCAAACTTTCGATATCCACCTCTTAAAAGACCATTTAACACTCGAATTAATCACTTAATTAAGTGGAATTATCATTTTTTCTCTATATATTTTGCTTTTTTTTGCCTCGGTGTAACCCCCTTGAATGGTGTCACTCGGTGCGGTCCGCCCCCGCCCCCCCCCCCTCGCTACGCCGCTGCATATTAATAACAGAGATTGTTCCAAAGATATAGTAAAAAACTAACCTAAATAAATTGGCCTACTATAAACTGCCATCAAACTCCGATCAGTCATATATTTTTCTGAAATTAATATTTTTACTTACTCGAATATGAAGTAAAGAGAAAGTATTATAATCGTGAAAGAAAATCGAAATCGAGATTTTGTCAAATCTCGACGTTATACACCTCCCTTAGTCGGGAAAAAAAAATCGCTTAGCAATTTTGTCTGTGTGTCTGTCTGTAAACACGATAACTTGAGTACTATTTCAGTTATGCTGATGAAATTTTACATGTAAGTATTATATTAATTTGTAGTTTCATATAAGCTTTTGAGCGATTTCCGGCAACCGGAAGTGGTACTTACTCTACTTTTGGTTTCTCAAAAGCTAACAACCGTTTACGAAATTGAACGAAATTTCAAACATAAATTTTACATCCAATGTGCATATTTTGAACGTTTTTCGGTAGCCGGAAGTAGCACTTTAGTCTATTTTAGTCTTTTTTCTTGTAAACATGAAAACTTGAGACTGTCTCAGTTATGTTGACGAAATTTCATATAAAGTATAAGATACGAGCTGACCCGCGCCGCAAGCATACGCCGCTATTTAGTTGTTTTATTTTCTACTTTTCAGTAATTCATAATTCACTACCAATGCTGCGACTGAAAATATTTTGCTTTAAAACACTATCAGTAGCTGGTAAACACGTTTATCCTCACCTTCGCTCCCCACCCCCACCCCTCCCGCGAACTCCGTGAAAGCAGCCGTCTGTGATGACAGTTTACAGACGACAATGAATAGTTATGGCAGAAATGGTTATTACCTCCCCTTTTTAAATTATCTGCCCCAACCCCTAATAGCCGACCCGGTTCCACGATTGTAAACATTCGGGGTGAACCACAGCTCTCCTGACAGGTGGGGATGAGGGTGGTGGCTATGCTGCGTGGTGTCTTCTATGGTCCCCATGAAAAGAATTATAAAGCACAGTTTTCTAAATTCGTTGAGGCCGAGCTTTTGATAAATTTAGATTTAGATTTTGTTGTGCACGATTACAATACAATACTGTGTGGAGAGAGGGAGTCTGATACATGGGCTACATCTGGCCCTTTCTTTTTTTTACCACCCCCTGGATATATATATATATATATATATATATATATATATATATATATATATATATATATATATATATATATATATATATATGTATATATATATATATGTATATGTGTATATATGTTACAGCTGGACTAAGGTGTACTTAAAAACAGGTCATATGACCGAAGAGGACATACTCTTATTCCCTCTCCCCAATGTGGACATGGCCTCGTAGTCCACGCCTAAAAAGGTGGGTGGGGGCACTGGTGGTGACTACCAGCTCACCCACATATTGGCTGGGGATTCTTTCTCTAACTCCATCCTATAATTAGAGGGGTGCACAGTTTCTGGCTCCCTTCCCCAAATAAGAGGATGGGTGCATTTTCCTCGTTCCCCCATAAGTGGGTGGACCAAGGTTGGGGATCTTCCTCCACATATGTGTGTGTGTGTGTGCAAGTGAAGGCCCCCAATTCCCCTTAATAAGCAGGCGGGGGCGCTGCTCCCTCCTCATAAATAAGCGGATGGGTTATGGCCGTATCCTCCCCTCCATAAGTGGGCAGTGTGTAGCCCCATCTCATCCCCCATAAGCGGGCGGTGGTGCTGCCCCATCAACCCGTATAAGTGGGTGTGGGCACAAATGGGTCGCCAAAACGCCTTCCTGTTTCTCTCATTTTGTCTGGGAGAAATGCTGGTAGGGAGTCTTTCACCCCACTCCTCTTCACACCCTCTATTAGCTGACATTACTTCCCCTGTAAATTGGCAAACAAGTTCAAAAAGGTAAGCCAATCTTAGTGTTACATAAAAGCACAGAGAGTAGCTATTGATTTAAATTAATAATCATAGTCCATGCAGTGGCGTAGCTAGGATTTTCGGGCCCCTATGCATAAATTATCAGTGTGCTCCTTCGTCATCCATTAGGCTACAAAAATAACAGCAATAAGGAAGAATGTGTTAACTTGATGCGTCAATCCGGCACCTAGGTTAAAATCACGAGAGTCGTGCAGATGGGCGACTATGTAGCAGAGGCGTAGCTAGGGGAGGGCGGGTGAGCGGCAGCCCCGGGCGCCAACCTTAAGGGGCGCCAAAAGGGGTAGAGAAATTAATTTGAAAGCTCATTTTAAGCTGAAGTATCGAATTATACACTGTCAAAGCTACGAAAAATAAACGACTACAAGGCTTCACACACTGATTTAACAACTTTGTGACACCGAAACAGAAATTGTTACAGGATAGTAAACCTTTCCAAACGGGGGGGGGGGGGGGGGGTGATTTTTCATAGAAAGGAACAACTATATATAGAAAGAGGGGGGGGGGGCGCAAAATTGATAGTCCGCCCCGGGCGCCGGATTAGGTCGCAACGCCTCTGTTATGTAGCAGAACGAACTGCATCTCTCCCCCCCCCCCCCCAAGAATTACATCACAGACTGCGGTCTGTAGTACACTGAACTCACGCATTAGTGGCGTTCCCTGCAAGTTATTACATGAGCTAACCATCCGTCCATCCTGCTTATTTTTCGGCATCTTCAAATGGAGGAACTGATGTTTTTGCGTGCAATTGCACATCTCTATTTTAGTTAGCCGAAAAACTGTTATTCCAATGACAATAGAATTTGCATATTTAGATGTATGGACAGACGGATGGACAGACAGACAGGTAGCCAAGGTGTGTGGATGGGCCATTCGGCCCGTTGGTATGTGGTAGGTGTTGGTGTAGCTGTAAACGTAGGTATATATGTAAGTGTAGGTGCAGCTTTGTTATGCAAATTGCCAATGGTCAAGTAACCTGTGATCAAAACCCGCGGTGAACAAACTGCCTGTGGACAACCCTTGGCTGTGGTCAAACAAGATGTGGGCTTATCACTTTTGGTCAAAATCTTAGGAATTTATGATTCTATTGATGTTAGAAAATGATAAAGCTTTCATTATCAAATAAAAATATACAGACGTTGAAATAAAATATTTCTGTCTATGTATATATAGGCACGTGCTAACTCAAACAAGCACGCACACAACACACGCGCATTGCCATAATCTTCATTGGTGAGCGATCTGTGTGTAGTTTTCTGTGTGCGCTAATTTTTTATTTGGGTGATTTCTGTGGGTGCACATTCCTGTTAGCACATTTTTCTGTGTGCCCAAATTTCTGTTTGTGCTTTTTTCTGTGTGCGCATTTTTCCTGCTCATTTTTTTTTTGATGTGCGCAAATTTCTGATTGTGCTTTTTTCTGTTTGCACTTTTTCCGTTGCGCATCTTTCTGGGAACTATAAAATGCAATGGATGTGTGTTTGTTTGTTAGTCCGTCTTTTATGCATTACTACACGTTTCATCCGATCAACATGAAACTTTAAGAAGTTGTTGTGAATACTTATGGGGAGGTTTGATATTCGCAGGGGTGACATGCCGCAATTTGTTTTTTCTCTATATACGGTATATAAAAATAAAAGTCAATTGCGGTTTGACTTTGGGAAGCTGTTGAGAATACTCCTGGGGAGGTTTCTCAGAATTTTTTTTTTCAATTTCGCACAGGCGGTGCACCAGCTGGGTGTGATTTGGCACCCCGGGTTATCCTGTGAGCGCTATGGCACCTAGGTTAGTTTTAAATAGTGCGATGGATTATGAATAAGATGGGGCATTTAGTCGTTCACTAAATTGAATCAGAAGTGTTCGCCGGCACCCAACAAGTTGCTTTTTGCCGCCCCGGAAGCGCTTTAAAGATTGTGATAGAATATGGATAATAAGCAGTATTATAGTCGTTCACTGAAGTGAATCAGGTGTCTGACCACGGCCCAGCAGGGTATGATTTGCCCCAGGCTATCCTGGGACTTTTTTAAACCCCGCGGCAACTGGCATGCTAGTTTATTTGTATAAAGCAAATATTAAAATTCCAATGTAATAGTTGATTTTTTTTAAAGAGGGAAAAGGGCCCCAATACGCCTTGGACCCCTATGCCTTGCTTACGCTAGCTTTATGGTAGCTACACCACTGAGTCCATGTCAGGTCCACCTAAATCCAATCTCAGTGGCTTAAGTTTTGATGGAGGTAATGACAAAGAAATTTGCTTTAAATCTGATCAGTAGCTTGTGATTTACGAACCCAGATTGTACTATCTGTCCCACATTAGCTCAGCTCTCAGGTTTGTGAACATCAATTGCTATTGAATATAGAAATCTTTAGGTGAGATATTCCTAGGCTGCTACTTGAGGTACTTTTATTTGAAAAGTGTAAAGAAAAGAGTCAAAACTGAGTTACAAGATTTGAGAAAAAACTTGTAAAAAACCAATTACATATGATCACACTTTAATCTTTCTAAACATTTGCCGTGATTATGTTTAGACTGTAGTTTCCTTCTGTTTCTTGTTATTACAGGAACCTTGGTTCTGTGAGAAGTCTTGTAAAGTTGTTTTATAGAGAGATTTGCCTTTAAGACTGAGGGAAGTTCCTGAAGTAATCTGGAACACAGATAGAGAAGACTAAGTAAAAGACTCAAAATGGATGAAATGTATTTATAATCAGAATTGCAATAGAAGTACTTACTTCTACTACAATGTAGTCTCCTGAATTTGCCTTTGACCCATCTTCTAGTACTTCAGGAAATATAACCTTTGTGTTTGCATCATTACGGCCAGCAAAATACTCAGGTGAGCGTTTACTTTCCTGTAAGAGAACATTTGCTGACCATTTTTTCAAAATTATATTTTAAGAAATAAACACATTCTCAGTAAACTGCTATAAATATTAATTAATAACTTTTTTATTTATTTTCTTCAACAAAAAACAATACAGTGAAAAAAGAAAAATTCAGCAGTGTTTACAGAAAAGGAAAAAGGAAATTAAAAGTGTAACATAAAGTTGCATATATGAGATAGTATTCATAAATAGACCCAAAAAATGTGAAAAATATTTTACTTACCCCTTCTACAAGTACTAGGTGCTGCTGACCAACCTGAGACAGATGCAATGCCTCTGCGTGCATACGATACCGGTCATGAAGTTCCATGTGGCGCCTATTTTTTACTTCTTTTGGAACATTATCATCCAATCTGTGGTGTGCTCTAGTTTTCTAGATGGTAAAAATTATTTAGAATATTGTGGCTATTTAGTTTTACCAAAATAATATTTATGTATTTAATAAAAATGCTTTATAATACAATCATAATCAATGATCAGCTCTTGGTTGGGCGATTTATCTAACGAAGCAGCATTATGTAAATAACTAAATCACTTGTGTAGAACATCCCAGTTCATAGTTAGTACGCAGCACTGTATGGCATGGACATATAAACACAATAGACCAGAAACTAAAATTCTAGAAATTTGAACACAAAAACTTGATACACTTAAATCAATATAGACATGAATATATCACATACTCTGACTAGCCCAGATATCCTAAGACATGAGAATTCAGTGGCACCTTATAAGCTGCAAACAAATAAGGTCACATGGTGAATTATGTGGTATTTTTAAAAAAATGGTACTAACCTGTCTCATGCTGTAAGGGAAACAGAAAGCTGTGTTGTATCTAACAATGTCCATTAAGGAGAGAGTATCTTCATGAGCTTTCTCTGTTTCCCCACAGAAACCAGAGATGAAATCACTTGAGAGAGCAACATCTGGTAGAAAAACAATGCTTTACTAGAGTGGTTTTGAATATCACAAAGAGAAAAGCATCGGTTTATTCAGAAATTCAATCAATTATGCACACAAAATCTGCACCTGGAATAATTTTCCTGATGTAGTTCACCAAATCTATGTACGCCTCTCTGGTGTAGCCTCTCCCCATAGCTGCTAAAATGTCAGAGTTGCCACTTTGTGCAGGTAGATGGATTTGTTTACAAACATTAGGGTACGCAAGTATTGTATGCAGCACCTATATCAAACATTTAGAAAACAAAGGATGAGTATAAAAAAAAACCCCACTGTTTGAGGTAATACAATTAAAAGCAGGTGCATATCAAACCTGAAAAGACCATTATAAAAACAAATGAACTAGGTCAAATATTTACATTATCTGGAAAATCTTTTGGATGTGGGGAGGTAAATCTGATTCTCATTTCTGGATTTATTTCTGCTACAGATTTCAATAACTTCGAGAATGTGTAGCCACCAGATTTTGGTTTATAGACAGTTTTAAAACCTGAAACATGAAACAGATATCTGCAATGATTTAGCTATATTTTCTTTAAATTATTGTTAACACTTTCATATAAAAATCTTTGTGTCAAAACTAACTAACTAGTAGTATAACCATAAAGGTAAATACCAACCAGCACTAAGTTGCATCACAGAGTCTTCATCATCAGCAGCAACAGACATATCCCTGTAACTATTCACATTCTGGCCCAGCAAAGTCACATCCTTTACCCCCTGAAATATATTCAAGTCATATTCTAATTTGCATTCAGTGTAAAAGTTAATAAAAATCATGATAAATGGGGGCTACTAAATGTAAATAAAAAATCTATAGAACTTTCTAAGAACAAGAAATTTTTAACTCCACTTCTTTGAATTTAGGATAAACAGTTTTAAAGTAACATTTTTATTCTATACTAGCATGCCCGTCCCTGCGCGTTGCCGTGTGGTTAAAAAAGTCCCAGGATAGCCCGGGGCAAATTGTACTCTGCCGGGGCGCTGTCAGAAGCCCTGATTCAGTTTAATGAACAACTATAATACTACTTCTTATCCACATTCTATCACAATCTTTTAAACAAACGTATGCATCATAGCACTAACGGGATAGCTCTGGGCAACCTCTGGTCCATTGCAACCTGTCAGGCACCGGCGAATATGTCTGATTCAAATTAGTGAACTACTAAATGCCCCATGTTATCCATAGTCTATCGCGTTGTTTAAGATTAACGTAGGTGCCATAGCGCTCACTGGATAACCCGGTGCGCCACACTCCCCAGGAGTATCCTCAACAACTTTCCAAAGTTTTATGGTGATCGGATGAAAGGTGTAGTAATGCATAAAAGACAAAAATAAAATCTGACAAAATATATTAGGATTTACAAATTCTATATTCCTAGACACGTGACCTTGTTTTCTAAAACTGAGATAATTAAATGTAAACAATGCCTGCGCTTGGATCATATTAATAAAAAATTATAATAACAGAAATATCATAATAATATGATTTTGCACACCCACGCAATAGTTAAATAAGTAAAAGTTGAACATATTTGAGAGATGAACACATTTTACTGTTATAAAATTTTTTTTCAATACAATATCGACAGATATACACTGTAGAGGTGTATCTTAGTTCATGGATGTTCAGTACTGTACAGAATGACGCCAGCTGATGATTCCTACTTGTAAATCAAATGCTTGACTTAAGAAAAACAAATGTTCTATGGAAAGTTTGTTTTCTGTGACACTATTTTGAAAATTTAAGCTCAAATTTCAAATAATCTGTTCAACATCTTACAATAGCTATGCATATATCAAAAGGATTACAATGCTATGCCTAGTAGCAACTTTGAGTATGCAGCTGTGCCCTGAGACTTAAATAAATTTTTAGCCAAGCTGACAAACATCATGGTGCCCTTCTGGCAGATGGCATAATTGTATTCTTATAGTATGGAACGCATGAGTTCAAAGAGAAAATAATTGTTTTTATGTTCGGCCTATTTAAAACAATTTTTTGCTGTATCTGTACAAGAACACAGATTTAACTATTACCACTTGTGCCAGCAATCTCTTCATGGAAAATAAAACAGTATTCTTACCTTTTAGTTATCTCAGTTACACACTTCACAATGTTCTTGGAATTCTAAAGCTATTATTTGTGTACAGCCCTTACATAAAAGACACATTTACATTTACTTCCGATAATTGACAAATTTAAGATAACAAACCCACACATCAGCATATATCATATGCTGAACAAATAAGCTGCCATACTGCATGTAACCTAATAATGCTTTTTAACTGGCTGGAGTTAGAACTCTGAACTGAATCGTGGTTTTTGAGTAAGAACAAAGTGGCATGACATTATTGCGCAATAATGGTAACAGATACAATCATTTTTTTACCATGTTACTTTGGTAGATCAAGAACACAATAGCACTAATCATTAAAAAAAATGAAAAATGAAGTTAAAACAGTCTTATTCTAGGGAAGCAATAAGTGAAAAATGAATTTAATGATTTAAAAAGAAACTTACCTGATCTGATAAAATTTGTATCTCATTGAGTATGGAGGAGAAAGGCCTGCTTCTCTCACGTCCCCGAGTAAATGGTACAATGCAATATGTGCACATGTTGTCACAGCCTCTCATTATTGATCTAAAAATATAAAATTATTAAAAAAAAACAATTCTAAATATTGCAATAAATTAAAAAAAAATAAATACTTGGATACTGATGAAACAAAACAAGAATTTACTGATGTTACTTTCAATACATAATAAATAAGTGTAGAATACCATTCACAGTAAGATTTAATAATGACAATAATTGCTCACTTACACAAATGCTGAAGGACTATTAGGATTATGACGAACAGGAATAACATCTGCATAGGTTTCTTCCAATGACAGTTGTACATTAACTAGATGAAAAACAATACATTTTATTGCAGAATGTTAAAGCTTTTTAAATTAAAGTAAAAAAAAAACACATTTAAGAAGCAGTTTAATATGGAGAACTAATTAAATTAAGGATTTTTCTTTTAGTTGTTATAAAAATAATATTTGCAAGGTAGCTACACATCTAAATGAAAGTTAAGAAAAATCATAGATTTGTAAGGACAGTGTATTCAAATGGTAGCTTGTTCAACTGCTAACCCCTATAATGTTCCTATGTCCACCCAAGGCCGATGCGTACCTGAATTTTGTCAGGAAAAGTAAAGGCGGCTCGGCATATTGCTGACCACACCGTCCGAGGTAAAAGAAAAAGCCAAAGCTTACTTCACCTTCCCCCATGGACCAAAAGGTTTTAAAGGGTATTAAAAAAAAGATTTGTACAGTTAAAAGAGTATTAGAAAGAATAAGTATTTAAAAATATACCTGCAGCTGCATCTGAAATTGCTAGCAGTCTAGGCAAATCTCTGTATGCATCAGGTCCACAAACAATATCTACCATTTTCTCCCTCTCAAGAATTTTATGCTTTAAGCGCTCAGCCATGCAACCTAAATAATATAAAAGCATTTACTTAGGCCTATACAACTTGATTGAAAAAAGTCTTTAAATAATCTTGTATGGACATTTTTGTAACCAGCACCTAAGATTCCAATTTTAAGAGGGTGGTCTTTGCTTCTCCTTAATTTGATACTTCGTAAAAAGCGAAGACGGCTCCAAATTTTTTCTTCAGCCCCTTCTCTTATAGCACAGGTAACAACCAAAACTGCATCAGCCTGATAAAAAGAATGTAAAAAATATCATAATCATCTTTTCTTAATTTTATTTATTGTTAACTTAATGCTTTTTTTGGTACTTGTTGGAAAACAAAACATTTACCATTGCTATTGTTACCTCATTTATATTCGATGCTTTGCTAAATCCATTCTTCTGCAATATGCCCCATGCTATTTCTGTGTCATTAACATTCATTTGACATCCATAGGTTTCAATAAATACTTAAAATGTAAAATTTAAACAGAGTTAATTGAGTTATCTGAACATAGTAGTATAGAACAGGCCTAATAAATACTTTTAAGTAAAGAGAAAAAAATCCCTGTCCCAATTCATTAGGCCTAACTAAAATATTTATTATTTAGGTATAAGCTACCTGATCTGTTGTTGCCATTAAACATTTCAGTATCAAAATATGAAGTATCATCATTTTCATCCTGTACTATGGAAGTTGACTTATAAGGATGTTGTAAGAAATCAGACAAAGAGGGACCTGATTGCAGTTGGATTCTAGAATTGGCAGTCCTATCTTTTAAACTTTTATTGTGGCTTGCTGAATTTTGAATTTCAGTTTTAGAATCATCATTACTTGCTTTAGAACTAAATCTCCTATGCATTTTTGGTAATTGAAACTTCTTAGGAGAATCTTGTTTAAATTGTGAGAAATTCCAAATACTCTTGGCAGAGGTACAAATATAATGATTATAATTATGGGCAGTACTATTAATAATTCCCGCATGAAATGGATCAGGATGAAGAACGAATTTAATTTGTTGATGCACATCTTTACTACTCAAAGTTTTAATACTTTCTGATAATATTCTTAATCTTTGTCCTTGAATTTTTGAGTGTGATTCATTTTTTTTAAACAAATAATAGTAGTGAGCTTTATAATTAATTCTATTTGCAGTAGACATAGATCTATTTGAATATAATATATTTGACTCTAGATCTAATTGTCTTTTGTCGCTTTTGGAAGGCATAGATGAAAATTCATTACATTTTTTTTTAACTGACGAATTTACAACAAAAAGACTGAAACCACCATTTTCCCGACTAAGAAAATCATCTAGATCTAGGCCTAGATTTTCTACTTGTGGATAGTTGTGGAAAGCTGCCAACAACTTGGTATTATGAGGGAATCTGTTTATTTTTGTACACAAACACATCATTTTAAAAACTATCGTATCACTGTGAGAAATTTAGTCAAGCAATCAGATCTTCTAGATCTAGATCTAGTCTACAAACTAAACAATTTGGCATTGAACTACGCTTCAAAAGCGAAAATGAAACTGCGACGGAAGTAGACTAGAACGTACTAAATAATGCCAGATAATAAAAGTTGTGAAACGTATTCAACAAATTGTAAAAATATGGTCGACCAGAGTTTCTTCCAGCAAGCATCTCTTCGCCCCCCCCCACCCAGAAGAAAGTCTACCGCGCCCCCGAGCGAAATGGAATTTATATAGAAAACATATACTTTTATTAGTGTCCGCCCCCCCGGAAAATGTTGTTCGCCCCCCCCCCCCCTCGAAAATATCAAGTGCCGCCCCCCTCGGAGAAAAAAGTTTGGAAGAATCACTGTGGTCGACGAAAGTGGATAGATATTTAAGTCCACAAATAATATATAGCATCAATCTTAATTTAATAAGGGGGAGGGGGATCTATAAATGACGTCACATTCTTGGAGGTTGTCCTTAAATGACGGCACAAAATGTAACAATACATTTTAGCATTAAAAAGTAATTAAAGAAATTGAATTGAGCAGACAGTTATCTTTTTATAGACTTTAACAATTGTCATACAAAGTGATCAGTAAAAACGCCTACTTAATGGTGTTCAAAATCAATTATAATATTTAAGAAATAAATTTCATTTTCAATAAATAATAATCACTGTTTGAAAAAAAAATTTGATAAACTTCATTATTTTACTTGATCAGCAAGGTTAAAAAAAAATAAACTTGTTTTACTGTATGTTGACTCCTAGGTTTAAGTGAAACTTTAATTACCTTATGACAAAATAACTGAGTTTAGACTTAAGTGCAACACTACTCATCCGTGTAGGTATCTCTCGAACTTAGGGGGGGGGGGGGGTAATACCAAAAAAGCACCTGCACCAACCCCTTCACGTTGGCCCAGAGACTGGTTACCTGATGAGGTCCACCCATTAAATAAAACACTGAAATACTTAAATGAAATACTGAATTACAAAGCTTCATTTATCCTGTAACAGAAATGTATAGGCCTGCCTAAATACGAAATAGATCTAGATCTAGATTCTAGGCTATTATATATTATATATTATATATATATTATGTGAGGCCTACATTTTTAACGGTGTTGTTCGTACTACATATATTAGCGATAAAGGGGAAAAAAGAAGCACAAATAGCTCATTTGGTTATAAAAATCACTGTATCCATTTATAAATATTTGACTGGTTAAAACAATTATTTAAAAACTCATAAAGGGTAGGCCTATATATATATATATATATATATATATATATATATATATATATATATATATATATATATATATATATATATATATATATATATATATATATACATTTTTTTTTTTTTTTTTTTTTTAAAGATCTTGATCTAGACGCAGTAGGCAAATTTTCCTTAATTTTCGACGTTTAGTGAGAACGTAGGAAGAAAAATAAACTTCCGGTATGAAACCATAATATTTTCATTTTTCACTCACTCAAAATCCTCCTTTTAAAAAGCAGAAATAAAGAAATAAAGATACAAAGACCTGACGTTATCTTAACAATTTATTTTTTGGTAATTGATTTATTGCTTCTAACAACTTATTATTTTAGGCTACTGGTCCGAATTATTTACTATTTACTATTTATTTATTTATTAGTTTATTAGTTAATAACTTAATATTTAATTATTTATTATTATTATTTAGTACGAAGTGTCTACTCGGAAGAAGATTTTTCTCCCCAACGTCTCCATTTAGTCGGCAAAAGATAGTTCTGCGCAGTGACTTATGGCTAGGGTTAGGGCTAGAATGAGGGTTAGGATTAGGGATAGGGTTAGGGTTAGGATTAGGGCTAGGGTTAGGGATAGGATTAGGGCTAGGATTAGGGTTAAGGATAGGATTAGGGTTGGTGTTAGGGTTCTGCGGTTGTAAGCACACGCATGCGCAGTACCATCGAAAACATCGCCGCTAAGGCAAGTCGTAGTTTCTCTCCATTGCGCATGCGTATCGCATGCGTATCTTATTCCGACTAGAATCGGCCTATAAATATTAGTTTAGATAGATTGAAATTCTAGTAGTAATTTACTATTAATTTAGACATAGGCCAGGGGTCGGCGTGGTCAAGTCGGTAAAGCTCATGGTTGCTAAACCGAAAAGTCTCGAGTTCGAACCCCCGGGCTGATGAGGCTCGTTAGCTGGGGACAGCCACTCTTCTAGGAGAGACAACTCCAAAATCAAACGACTACTGCCTTGTAGTTAGTTCTTGGTTGGACAAAAGCTATGGAAGCAAATCCGAAAAGAAAAGCAGGCTGAAATCGGAGTCAATGGCACTTTAATTGTGATGGAGGCGTGGTCGAGTAGGCAAAAGCTCGATCCCTTCCAACACTAAAACATTAAGAATGGAGAAGAAAGATCATGACTAGAGAATGAAGTACAGATTAAGAGAGCAGTGCTTTTTAAAAAAAAATGTGTTTTATTTTAATAAGAAAGAGTATTTCAATGGTTGAAGTATTTGCTATGTAAATTATTACTTATGCACTCTACAGCTAAATAAAATAATTGGGGCCTAAACGTCATTTTTAAATTAAAAGTTATATATAACTATTTAGAGTTCACAATGCTATTCTACTGCCAGTTTCCATTTTAAAATTAACAGAATTAATATCAGATAGCGTGTCCCAAATCAGGGATTTTAAAAAGGCTAAAATTTTAAACTATATACTTCCCATATCATTTATATATATTATTTTTCACTAACTAAATCAATTAGACAAATTGATTAAATTGCACTGGCAAAATCTTAATATAACCACAGTGGCAAACTGTTTTAAATGAAATTAAAAGTAAAAGAAATAGTAGTGTAAGCATCAGTATATCAAGATCTGAACCTATTAAGTAAGTATAAAAATGTCAGTATGTTTGACATTTTTTGTTGTAAATAATTTTTTTTTTACATGTGAGCAGACATGGCAGATGATAGAGAAATTCTAAGAGAATTGTGGGAAGGAAAAATACCAGTTTGTTTTCAACTTGCCCAAGAGGAAGTTTACACAGTTGGTCAGCCTGACCCTTTTTTTGTAAGTTTTTAAAACTACCTTTTTCATGTTTAACTTATAGAATAGTGCTACATTACCACAATAGCTGTCTTACTATGTCTAACACAAAGAGCTACATTACCTCATCTAAAATGATTGTATGTTTCTGAAGTAGATACAATCCTATGTTGTATTACCCACACCCTCCTGGCCTATGATATTTTAACATTAGCAGTCTGAGAAAAAAATCCACATTGTGTTACCTCTAAAATGATGTGTTATATTTACAATCCAGAGTCATTTAAATGATATGCTTTGAATTATGTAAGCAAACCAGAACAACAAATTTAATGTGACTTCAGATTTAAGGTTATCTTTTGTGGTTTGTTAAGTGGGAAACAATGGTAGCAAAAGTTCACTTAATTACTTGTAGCACTAAACTTGACATTTGTATTGACATCTTTGATTAGGTGACATGGATGTGTATAGCTCCTAAAGTTTGGCTAAATGTGACATTTGTATTGACATCTTTGATTAGGTGACATTGATGTGTATAGCTCTTAAAGTTTGTCTACACTTGACATTTGTATTGACATCTTTGATTAGGTGACATTGATGTGTATAGCTCCCTAAAGTTTGGCTAAATGTGACATTTGTATTGAGATCTTTGATTTGATGATATGGATGTGTATAGCTCCCTAAAGTTTGGCTAAATGTGACATTTGTATTGACAGCTATTGGTGCCCAGACTGAGCTACTTCCCATTGGTGACAGACAAAGTCTTGAGGTACATGGTCATGTACATCGAACCTGACAGCCACGGAGAAATGTGGCTGGAGTATGATGGCCAACCTTTGAAATGGTGAGAGAACTAAGAAATAAATTAAGTTTGATGGCCAACTACTGAATTAGATTCTGTAAGCTACTGAAGTAGATGTGAAAACTACTTAAGTAGATGTGAAAACTACAGAAGTAGATGTGAAAACTACTGAAGTAGATGTGTGAACTACTGAAGTAGATTCTGTAAGCTACTGAAGTAGATGTGTGAACTACTGAAGTAGATTCTGTAAGCTTCTTCTTCTTCTTCTTCGTTCTTAATTTTTGAATATGGTGGAGGATTCAGACAACAAGTCCAACTTCGTGGACAAACCGGACTGTGGTTTCCAGTTTGTCAGGTGTCCCATATAATTTTTCCCTGAGTGGGGTGGGCTGGGGCCAGTGTCTGACTCTTGCCTGGCTATACAGAGTACATTCCTGATTCTGTAAGCTACTGAAGTAGATGTGTGAACTACTAAAGTAGATGTGAAAACTACTGAAGTAGATGTGTAAACTACTGAAGTAGATTCTGTAAGCTACTGAAGTAGATGTGTAAACTACTAAAGTAGATGCTGAAGGCTACTGATTTATGTGCTATAGGCTATTGAAGTATATGCTGTAGTGTAGGTTTGCAAGAAATTTGTTAACCAATGTGTTTAGTTATAATGATGTTAAATAAATGCCTAAATGTAATTGCCCTGCCAAGTTTTTAGACTTACCTTACATGGCTACATTTGGTATTTAGATATTGACCTGGCAGAAGTGGTAGACTTTTCTCATTCTTTAAAATCTATTGTTGCCATATTGGTTTCATCAAAAGTTTTCTCATTCTTCAAATCTATTGTTGCCATATTGGTTTCATCAAAAGTTTTTTCCTTCTTCAAATCTATTGTTGCCATATTGGTTTCATCAAAAGTTTTCTCATTCTTCAAATCTTTTGTTGCCTTATTGGTTTCATCAACATTTTTCTCATTCTTTAAATCTATTGGTTTCACCAAGAGAAGTACATAATTTTTCTCTAGATTTAAACAAAAATTTCAAATTGATATTTCTCCAGATCTGTAGGCTGGTTAAAATATAACAGATGGATTCATGGATATTCATTTTAATAGCTACAGACGTATATTTTGGAGTTTTCGTAATAAACTTTATAAAAACTTTATGAGTTGATTTGTGGTACTGCTACTAGGGATACAATTTTTATATATTTGTTGATTTTTATTGCTAGTAATTTTTATTTATTTTAATATTTTCCTCCAGGCACTATCCAATTGGTTTATTGTTTGATTTGTATGGAAATCAAAATGAGTTACCATGGAAACTTACTGTACACTTTAAGGTATGGTTTATATTTGTTGTGCTACATATTTAAGTTTTGTAGTTTTCTGTTAGTTACTTTAAAAAAAAAATTAACTCTAATACTTACAGGCTAACAAAAGACCAAATGTACAGTAGTCTTTCAATCACACTATCAGAATATCATTTACTTCACTATATTTCACCTGAACTTGTCAAGGTCTGAATAAATGTAAAAAATACCTTAAGTAGATATATAGTGCATGCAGTTTTTTACATGTGAACATAGAAAATAATTGTACCTAAAGTTTTCAAATATTAGATACAGTGTGATCCATACCAAATGATTTCATTCCTCCAAGCAGTGTCAAACACACTGTAGGACTTGAATGAGAATTTTTTAGTCTGTGTCAATGCTGTTTTAATGTTTTAAAACTTATTTATGACAAGAGCATCGTTTATATTATTTTATTTGAATAAGATATTTTCTTGTTAGCTAATGATTACACACTAAAGTTAACGAATTAATCAAAAGGATGTCAGCCTGACCTTGTCCTGATCAACTTGTGTTATTTATTGGGCATTTAACATGAGCACACCTGACAGATAGCATTTAGTTTGAATTGATTGCTTTTACAGATACAAATATATTATGACAAAAATTGTTTGTTTTTCCCTTCCAAATTTTCTTTTATTTGAGTTGTATTTTGGCATGTATTTCCTGCCCATTGAATGAAAGCCAATGCTGTGATTGTCCAGAATTTCCCTGAGGAAGAGTTACTGCACTGTCTGGGTAAAGAAGCTGTGGAGTCTCACTTTATGTCTGTTGTCAAAGAAGCTGATGCACTCAAGCACAGAGGGCAGGCTATAAATAGCATGCAGAAGAAAGACCATAAAGCCTTGTGGACAGGATTGATGAATGGTCTGCTTTTATTGCTTCATAAATTATTTCTTTTCATGCCCAACGTTTTTTCTTTACAAATGTGTAGACATTTCATATTGTAAATATTTTACACAACTTCAAAGACACCAACAAGCAGGCCATAAATTGAAAACAGTTTATATGTTCTTCATTTTTAGCTCAATTAGTTAACACATTCCTAGATTTTAACTACTGAATTGTTTTCAAATAGTTTTAGCTTACCAGTTAATTAAAAGAATGAAATTGATTACTAGCTATTCCTTTTAAAAATATGCTAATTTCTGACAGTGTAATTTTTGCTTTCACTAAAAAAATAATTGGAAGGAAAATTTGTTAAAATCATTTTGTTTTGTTTCTGATATTTTTATGATGCTTATATTTTTTAATGTCTGTAGATAAATTTGATCAGTTTTGGTCTGTCAACAAGAAACTAATGGAGAACAGTGGAGAAGATGCTTTCAAATCTGTCCCTTTTAGAATATACCAGGTCAGTCAGACAGCCGCTGATGCCCATGCTTTTTTATTCAAACAATCAAAAATATTTTTCTCAAACAGAACTTTGATTTAAAAATTAAATTGTGTGTAACTTTGTTTGATTTTTATCTGAAGGTGGACAAGATCCCTATACAAAAGCTATTTAAACCTGTAGATGACAACGGTGAATTCCTGACTCTCAATAGTTTATTGAAGTCTGCCTTGCCTGACTTGGTTGAATCAGGTCAGAATTGTTTTAGTTTTGCTTTAAACAAGAACATATAACATGAAATGATGCATGTTGTTGACTGTTTCAATAAACTGTGCTTATCAAAATTAAAACTGTATTGTGCCAAGGCCCTTATAGTTCAGATCAAACAACCATTTAAAAAACAGGACTTTTTTTTCTGTGTACAGTTACTGTGAAAACTAAATTTACAATTGATTTCTGTACCACTGTTTGCAACAAAACTCCAGGTTTAAAACTACCTGTACTTCCCACCTCTGACAGTACTTCTCACCTCTGACTGTACTTCTCACCTGTGACAGTACTTCCCAACAGTGACAGTACTACCCACCTGTGACAGTACTTCCCACCCATGACTACTTCCCACCCATGACTGTACTTCCCACCAGTGACTGTACTTCCCACCCATGACTGCACTTCCCACCTGTGACTGCACTTCCCACCTTTGACTATACTACCCATCTGTGACAGTACCTACCACCCATGACTGTACTTCCCACCCATGACTGTACTACCCACCAGTGAAAGTACTTCCCACCTGTGACTGTACTTCCCACCCATGACTGCACTTCCCACCTGTGACTGCACTTCCCACCTTTGACTATACTACCCATCTGTGACAGTACCTACCACCCATGACTGTACTTCCCACCCATGACTGTACTACCCACCAGTGAAAGTACTTCCCACCTGTGACTGTACTTCCCACCCATGACTGTACTTCCCACCTGTAATTGTACTTCCCACCTGTGACTGTACTTCCCACTCTTTACTGTACTTCCCACCTGTGATTGTAATGGGCTGATTGTAATAAAAAAAACTTGTTGCAGGAGAAATTTCCAACTATCGTGTGATAACTCAAGGCATTGAACCCCCCCTGGAGACACCTGTGTCATGGATGAGTGAACACCTGAGTTACCCAGACAACTTTCTCCATATGATTTTAGTTTCAAGGACAGAAATTGAGAGCTAGTAATGTTTCTATGTAGTGTGTGACAGATTGTGTTTTAATGAATGAGAGAATTTAGAAAAATACTGGTGGGTGTATGAAACATTGATGAACATTTGTTATATGAAACATGAACATTTTATTTCCCTCAAATCAATGTAACTACTTTAGTCTGTATCATAATAAACCAAAGTTTATACTTGCAATGTTCTTGCCATGATTTTGTGTTGAGTTTATCCTGCTGGACAACAGAATTGACAGATATGGGGGTAGTGGCCATTCATTTCCTATAGAAACTGGTCTAAATTGGGTTAGAATATTGGACCTTATCAAACAACTAGACTGCTATCTGAACGATGCAAACATGTGTTCAGATTGATTTATTTATCTTTTGTCCAGGCCCCCCCCCCCCTCCACCTACCCTGTTAACTATTGTGTAGCCCAGGTGAAAAAAAAAGGTGGCATAGCGCCATTAAGATAAAATTATTGATTAGAAACAACGGGCGGCAGGGAGTTAAGCTACCGGATGTAACACAGGTGTTCATTCCAGATGGTGTCATGTCAGATGTTGTCAGGTGTTCTTGTCAGATAGTGTCATGTCAGATGGTGTCAGGTGTTCATGTCAGATGGTGTCATATCAGATGGTGTCAGGTGTTCATGTCAGATGGTGTCAGGTGTTCATGTCAGATGGTGTCAGGTGTTCATGTCAGATGGTATCATGTCAGATGGTGTCATGTCAGATGGTGTCAGGTGTTTATATCAGATGGTGTCAGGTGTTCATGTCAGATGGTGTCAGGTGTTCATGTCAGATGGTGTCATGTCAGATGGTATCATGCCAGATGGTGTCATGTCAGATGGTGTCAGGTGTTTATATCAGATGGTGTCAGGTGTTCATGTCAGATGGTGTCATGTCAGATGGTGTCATGTCAGATGGTGTCAGGTGTTCATGTCAGATGGTGTCATGTCAGATGGTGTCATGTCAGATGGTGTCAGGTGATCATGTCAGATGGTGTCAGGTGTTCATGTAAGATGGTGTCATGTCAGATGGTGTCATGTCAGATGGTGTCATGTCAAATGGTGTCAGGTGTTCATGTCAAATGGTATCAAGTGTCCTGAACCCCTATACATGGGTGCAGCAGGAGCAGGGCCAATTAATTGGCCCAAAATCTGATAACAATACTTGTTGAGAATATGAAAACGGAACTTAGGAAACAATACCAGGCATTCCGTGAAAATATACGCCAGACAGTTCTAAGTGAACAATGTGAACCTTGAACAAACATATCCTACCCTGAACAAAATTACCCAAACCCAATACAGCCTCCCCTGAAATAAACCCTGAACATGTATATCGTAGACTAATTTTAATATACTTTAACATTCACTCAAGAGTTGAACAATATCAAACTTTTATTTAAAGACAAACACGTTAAAAAATCCATAAATTGAATGAGATGAGAAGATGAGGCCAAATTTAAAATACATCTTCGATATTATCAAGGGTGTGAAAATCATATGTTCCAATATTTCGTGGTTGTCTGTCAAGAATATTTAACGGAGACATTCTACATTCGGGTACACTAATACACAATTCGGCCTAACGCCCATTCTGTTTGGTAAAGTTTGCAAAGAAAAACTAATCGATGTGCAGTTTCTTTATGCGCATCTATTCCCCCCTCCCCTCCGGAACAATATATATATATACATATATACATATATATATATATATATATATATATATATATATATATATATATATATATATATATACATATATATATATACATATATATATATACATATATATATACATATATATATATATATATATATATATATATATATATATATATATATATATATATATATATATATATATATATATATATATAATACATATATATATACATATATATATATACATATATATATACATATATATATATATATATATACATATATATATGTATATATATATATATATATATATATATATATATATATATATATATATATATATATATATTATGTATATATATATATATATATATATATATATATATATATATATATATATATATATATATATATATATATATGTATATGTATATATATATATATATATATATATATATATATATATATATATATATATATATATATATATATATATATATATATATATATATATATATATATATATATATATATATATATATATATATATATATATATATATATATATATATATATATATATATATATATATATATATATATATATATATATATATATATATATATATATATATATATATATATATATATATATATATGTTACGGTCAAAGCCCGAAGTGCGGCCAAAGCGCGGATTGGCCGGCCAATCCGCGCATTGGCCGGCTCTCTTAGCCAAAGCCCGAAGAACTTAGCACTAAGATCGTATTTCGTACATTGGCCGGCCAATGCGCGCACTGGCCGGGATGTCCTGGCCAATGTTCTATCTAGACTAAGTTGTGATCGCATTTTCATTATTCTGGGTGCGTTTTCATTGAGAGTAACGTATTGTTTAGCTCTTGTTTGTATAGCATTCTATATGCTACGTATTGTTTAGCTCTTGTTTGTATAGCATTCTATATGCAAGGCGACATGGATCAAAAGGGCCATCAGACCATGAGACAGACTTAGCAGATGGATGTCAAAAGAAAAAAATGTAAATCCATGTTAGTTTCCATATATGGGCTCTCTATAAAATAGTTACTGAGGAAGATCTTGAGAACATTGAACAAGAAATGGAGGTTGCCATAAATGCCAACGATGTCCATGCTATTTGTGGAATACCCAATGAAGCAGACGAAGGGTACAGAGGGAACATTACCTGCAGATTGTGTCACAACAAACAAGACATCATGGAACACAGATCAGCAGCTCATACTGGCTTGCAAACTCAAGGTGCTAAGATGCTTAAAACATCAAATACAAAATTTAAAGATGGTGAAGTGGGTGAAAATGTACACGTCCGTTTTCCAGATGTTGACAGAGGTCACGGTGATCCCCGAAGCGTGATTGCAGTTGTCATGAGCGTCGAGGGCGGTTTCTACAAATTAGGAAAGGAACATGGTGTTCTAAAACAACTGTATGCTAGAAGTGAGTTTTCAATTCTTCACGAAAAACTGCTCTTATTGTCGTCAGTTGGCATTGAGAAAAAATCACTACGAACCATCGCATCTTCACAATCATTGACTGGGGGCCAAGGCTACACTCGCTGCAACTGCACAACTAAGTGCACAACAAATCGCTGCAAGTGTAAAAATAACAAGCTGCTATGTAATTCTAAATGCCGTAAAAGTTCAACTTGTTGTAACAAATGATGATATTGATAGATTGAGACTATAGTACAATAAAAAAATTTGAATGTTTCTGTCATTTACTTTAATTAATAATCAATAAAGACTTAATTTCATGTTTTTTACGGCATAAAAAAACCAAAATCTGCTCATGATCTTCTAATTCGGACTTTGGCCGGTCGTCCCTAGCCAGATGATCTTCTAATTAAGACTTTGGCCGGTCCACCATGGCCTGTCTGTGGATTGGCCGGCCAAAGGCCGAAATCAAGCAAAGTTTCGGACTTTGACTGCCCTATGGGAAGCGATATTGGCCATTGCGCGGATTGGCCGGCCAATCCTAGCATTGGCCGACTTCGGGCTTTGACCGTAACATATATATATATATATATATATATATATATATATATATATATATATATATATATATATATATATATATATATATATATATATATATATATATATATATATATATAAACAAGCCCCCCACCTCGGGAGTTTCAAGTGCTGCCCCCCCCCCCCCATGTGAAAAATGTGTGTTGGAAACCCTCTCGTTAATTTCTGTGTTTTTGCGCGATTTACAGACAATACATGAATTGCTAAGTTGAAAGAGTAACACAGACCACCTACGGCTAATCCGAGTTAACTAATCGGGTATTTACAGCCTACACAGTCAAACAGATTTAAACCTGAATTAAATGCCATAAATAGACTTTATCAAGAAAATTCAGTCGTGAGAAATTCGATCTGACGAAATCAATACACAGCCCTCCCCCCCCCGATTAATTAAATACGTGTGCGTGTTAAGTCGTCATTATCGTAGCCGGATGACGTATTAAAAGGTTCTATTGCGCACTTTCTCTTGGCTTACAAGTTATTTACAAAATTTGAAATCAGTTTGCTAATAAAGTGCACCGTCAATGGTTTCCAACACTCGTTTGTTAACTTTTGGTAAGCGAATGTAAGCAATGTAAGTGTAATGTAAGCAATAAAATGTAAGTGTAATGTAAGCAATACAATGTAGGTGTAATGTAAGCAATACAATGTAAGTGTAATATAAGCAATACAACGTAAGTGTAATGTCAGCAATACAATGTAAGTGTAATGTAAGCAATACAATGTAAGTGTAATGTAAGCAATACAATGTAAGTGTGCTGTAAGCAATACAACGTAAGTGTAATGTCAGCGATACAATGTAAGTGTAATGTAAGCAATACAATGTAAGTGTAATGTCAGCAACACAATGTAAGTGTGCTGTAATCTATGTAATATGATCGTCAAAAATACAAAATTTTACAGGCTTCTAAGTTCACAATGTCTGTTTGTGGATTTGTGGCAAATCTTGTAATTCAGTTTTGAACCACCTCCAATGCAGCAATTTTGTTCAAATTCCCAGATACCTTCTACTTCAATGACAAAGCAACGATATCTATTTTTAAAATACGATGAAATACAAACGTGTTTGTTCGATCGAGACCGTCGAGGATGATATGTTTGTCACTGCTTGTTGATTTCTTGCCTGGGCGTGGACCACGAACAAAAGACGTCGCAGCTGAGACCTAGAGGTTGAAATGGGTTGGGCACACTTTTATGTGACACGTCGGTCGATGGGTGGAACCGCTAGGGAAGGCAAAAATACACCCACAACAGAGCTCAAAGAACTTTAGACCGCCGGGATGTCCTGGGAGACGGTAAAATATATAACGGATGTCCTGGGAGACGGTAAAATATATAACGGATGTCCTGAGAGACGGTAAAAATATATAACGGATGTCCTGGGAGACGGTAAAATATATAACGGGTATCCTGGGAGACGGTAAAATATATAACGGATATCCTGGGAGACGGTAAAATATATA